CCCCCCCAGACGATTTAAATCCCTGACGAAACATACATGACGAACCACGGCAACGGGTTAAAGCCGCTCATCCCAAGCAGCTCCCTGATAGGGTGCCAGTTGTTCCAGGTGTATCAGCATCATCATGTTTTTCCAATTGGTGGGGGCAAAAGTACCTAGAGTAACCAATACTCTTAAATTTCCAGCTCTTAGTCTGTGTGCAGTCTCTTCTTTCATTTCACATGGGTTCAATCCCTCCACAATGTTCAGTCCCTCACTTTCCGCAATCTGCTGGAAATCCTAACTGCTCCCTTCACAATCTCGAGCCAGAAAGTCTGCCTGACGGTCTTGTTGAATGCCCCTTGCTTGCTAGATGTAGCAGCTGTCTCAGGTCTTGGTCCCTTATGCCATTGTTCCATTCTGGTTTTGGCAACATCCCAGAAGACAACATCCTTCATATATGAGAGAAGCTTGTAAAGTAATTAGATTGGCAACACTGCTTATCTTCAGTGGTCTTGATCGGGATAGTACCTATACTGTATTACTTCTCCAGGTGTGTTTAACTACTAATGCAAAGGTCATCACTTTTTGTAGTCTGTGTTTAAATGAACACTTGTAAGAAACCTGTTTTGCACTGGAAGAGCAGAATGATATTTCATATGTTTTAAGGAGGAGGTAGGGGCCAGGGTAGCATAGTTGGTATAGCAACTGGCTACAGGCTAGATGACTGAGGGGTTGGAGTTCAAGTCCCAGTAGGGTCAAGAATTTTCTCCAAATCATCATGGGCTCTGGGGTCCTCCCAACTTCCTATCCAATGGGTACCGGGGCTCTTTCCCCAGGGGTAAAGCAGCCAGGTGTGAAGCTGACCTCTCTCCTCCAGCTAGTGCTGAGATAAAGAAAATGTGGATCTTTACATCCACATCCCCCCCCCATATGCCTTCATTGCATAGTGCTTAATTTGTTGCCTTTTTTGAGGAAGAGATGTGCAACAGAATTTTGCATGAAGCTCGAAAATATGGTGAAGAAATATTAACTAGATGTTACAGTATACATATGGAATAGAAGCAATGAGCCAAGCTATAGGGTTTCAATGGTGGAAACACCATTGATGATGCTCAAAGTGGGAGACCAAGCGCTACTGTCACAGATGTGAATATTGATGAAGCTGAACAGTTGCTGAAGGAGGACAGGAGATTATCATTAAGGGAATTGTATAGTAGTATAATTGTCGTAGTAAAGGGTTTGCCATATCACCACAGTGGAATTAGGCATTAGGTGTTTGTACATGGTGGGTTCCTTGTGATCTCAGTGATAAGCAGAGAAGAAGGCATGTAGAAGTCTGCTGACAAAATATTACTCTTGCTAAACAAAAGCCTGACATTTTACTATCTGTAATCACCTGAGTCTTGGATGAGACATGACTCAGAATAAAAATGAGAGTCGAGCATTTCGAAACACAAAGATTCACCTCCACCAAAGAAATATCACACAGCACCATTGTCAGGAAAAGTAATGCAAATACACTTAAAACTCATTTAAAGAATGCTGTTTGGAGAAAAGGGATGGAGTTCTCGACAAAATGATGGTTTCTGCTTCAAGACAATGCACAGCCACATATTACATATGACAACAGAAGTGCTAGCTGACATCAGTGGAACACCTGTAGAATGTCCAACTTACAGTCAGGATCTCATTTCATGTGATTTTTGGGCATTCCCAGTGCTTCACCATGAATTACGAGGACAGAAATTCAGCAGTGACACTGAAGTGAAACAAGCCACCTCTGCATGGCCTGCTGCACATGTTTTAGATGTGGATGAGGCACTGGAAAAGAAAAAGTATAGCATGTGAAGGGTTTACTTCAAACAAGAAACAGTGCCCAACCTTCCAGAATCCTTAATGAGTTATATGAGTGTCTCATTGCTTTTCAAACTCCCCTCTTATTTTTCACAAAATCAAGGGGGGTGGGAAGGACTTGAAGCATGCATTAGGAGGTGAATAAATTATCTTTTGGAATCTTCCTGTGGGCAAGAGTGGCTAGAGTGTAAGGCTGACAACCTCATCGCCATCTGTGAGCTGATTGTCTAGAAAGTGTGGGAGCCTCAACATCTCACAACCCTATCGGTCTCCACAGCCTGTAACAAGGATAGCTTTACCTTTTTATTGTTTAGGCCTACTGACCTGTTCCAGTTTCTGGTTCTAATCGAAATTGGTCATGCTGTCTTGGTCAGACAGCCTGAAGTTCTTCCTTGAAGACTTTAATGTAGTAGGTTATAGGAGATTCACTCTTCGTCCATTCTAATTATGTAATGCAGCCATTTTATCTTTCATCCTTTAGTATTTGGCTTGAAACTGAATATTCTTCCCATATCTTTATTTTTTATTAATCAGCTAATATCCAGCTACTGCTCTTGAGTCCTCACTTTTGTGGTCTCAATTTTTATCGTCTGTAGTATAATAAATGAGTAATGTATACACAGTTCTAGTTGTAAAGCCTGAAGGGATGAAATCCCTTAAGACCTGCATATTGATGTGTAGATAGTACATATTAAAACTGATCTTCATGAAACATGATATGAGGATGTGGACTGGAATCAATTGGTATAGGATACAATCCAGCTCTTGGGCTTGTGTGAATTTGTGTTCCTTACATGGAGAATTTCTTCACCACCGGAGTGACTCCTTCCGTCTCAGACGGATCTTTTTCTATGGAATTAGGTTGATTGTTGATTGATTAATATGACAGGTAGTGCTATACTTGAAGAATATAATACACAACTTGTATAATTCATAAATATAGCTTAGTTTAAACTTCTAAAATGAGAATGGAGTCAGTTTAGCTACAAACAGATCTTTGAATAATTATGGAAAATATGTAAAACAATCTTTTAATTCCTCATTTATTTCCTTGTCAGTATTTTAGAGACCTGTTCTTTTTCCATAGCCTTTCTTTGCAAATCCTAATTAATTCTACCATTTTACTATTGATAAAATGATGAATGAGGTATACTGTCTCTGTAGTCTGGCCAAGCTTCATTCACATAGCTTAAGTACCTGCCTGCAGCTCAAAATGCCTTTTCTATAACTTTGCTTACTTGTGTAAATTGCTATACTTCTACATCTTTCCTGTGTATGTGTGTGTGTGTGTAACCAGGGCATGTAGGGAAAATAGGACAGCCCTCCATTTGTGACCATCAGTAACATAATAAAATAGCAAATGACCATATTGAGTGTGACACTGCTACTACCTGAAAGGAATGCATGTATTCTTATTAACCTACAAAGAATAATTAAGATACGAAGCAGAATCACTGACTTCTACAGTTTCATCATAAACATGAGAGTTGCAGGTTTGTTTTATGTGTAGCCTACTATGCCTGCATTGTAGGATATCTGCCTCACATAGTAGACAGTACTGCAGTATTTTCTTGTTTACAAAAGTTATTCACACTTGGCTTACAACAGGCTAACCTGTGTGCTTTTATTATGTCAAAGACCCTTCTCCCTTATTTTAAAAATGTAGTATTAACAGTCTTAGGTACATGTAACAAATATAACCTTTCAAGGTCTGCATTTGAGTTGCTTTTGACTCACTTCCCAGATGTCACCATTTATTGTGATTTATTGGCATAACTTAGAAATTTATATGTACTGTAATTAAAACCAGCTTTATTATCTGAGAAGTTTGCTATTGAATGCAATAAGAAGGTACATTTTCCGAGGTTATTGCTGGTCACAAACGGCTGTGTGTCCTGTCCCATGTAGAGTCAGTGTCGAGTGTGGAGGGTTCCCGCACCCGTCGGCGCCGGCGTAGACGTAGGACAAGGCCCCATAGCCAGACACCCTCAGGCGAGCATGTGGACTGCAGGCCTAGTGACCACCTTGCAGGAAGTAGTATTGACATTCAGGGTGAGTCTAATTTTCTGAACCCTCAGCCAGTGAAGAGAAAGGTCACATCACCAAGAGGAAGTTATCACATGAAAACCATTTTTCATCACATGGTTGGACTAGGTTACTAATTTAAATAAAAACAACTACTGACTGAAAGCCATTGTATAATATTTTCTACATTAATCCATCATCATAACAGCCATAACATTCAGTACCATGTTGACAGGTGGTGGTGCAGCCCCAGGCCCCAGTGATCAGTCTGCATTTACAAGCAAAGAAGGAACACCAGCTACAGATGGACCACCTAAATCACAGAGGGAACCAAAATCCCGCAGTCAGAGACCACCAGCATCTAAGCGATCCGAAGGCAAAGCCAAGGAAACAATGGTTAATGGCACATCAGCTTAGATATGTGTAATTTGGTCTCAGGCGCACAATGTTTGAAAAACTGCACAGTAGTACTGGACATTTCTCAGCTACGATTAAAACAGGAATACATGGAAAATGTATGCATGGTTTACATTGACAACAAAGTGCCAAGATAAAAATTATTGGGACCTTCAGATCACATTCACAGAAGGCTAATGCTTTTAACCCCACCTGGGATTTATATGGGGTTTATAAATTTCTGAAAGTTACATTCTGTGAATTGCCCAATGGTGTATACTAGTATCCTACTCTTGAGTCATTGGTTCTCCTTGATCTGTTCTCCTTGAAATTTTGCATTTTTATGAGACAGTGTGCAAGATTTTGAGTCAAAATTGTGGAATTCAAGATGTTATTTTCATGTTGGGGAAAATTCTTACCAATCTAGGCTGACACAAAACTGAAAAAAATCCTTTGACAGGTTTTCAGTTACTTAAGTTGCCCCATCACATTGTGATGTGCAAGGCACAGGAATAAAGTGTGATGGATGCTCACTCATCTTGCACTTTAAATACAGTGCAGCAGTGCCTCGACACACAAGACATTTCCCTCTTGTTCAGGGCTAGCTCACGGATGCCTTTTTTATACTTGCTACCGAAAATTTATCCCTCCCTCATTTCCTGCTTCCATTTTGTAGAGCAGAATGAAACTGTTTCTTTGGTTGTAACATAGTAAAGGGCAAGATTGATTCTTCCTAATGACTTTTTGTGTGAATACTGTAGCTCATTTTGTAGGAGGCAGCTGTGTGTGAAGTTTGCATAACAGCAGTATTCAGATGTTCCTTCTAGTATTTATTGTCTCAAGTTTGGTTACTTGCGTAGTGGAGTTACTTAACATTTTTACCTGTAGTTGCAGCAGAGATTGAAATTTGTTGAATGCTAACAAATCGGTGGTGAGTTGAGATCTTAACTTGTAAGGTGAATACAGAAGAGAAATTCAATTTGAAAGTAAATTCTGAACAACTTATAGAATTTCTTTCCATGTGAATGTAACTGGGAAATTGGCATAATTTATTTCTTAAATTTTTGCTTGCATATTAGTGAATACCATAATAGTCGGAGCAAATATTTATGTTGCTACCAATTATATTTAAATGCATTTTGCAAAATATCTGAAGTTTAAGTAGTAAGGTGTATGATTCTTTTGGAACTTTGTGTACCAACACACTTTTTTGTTATTTGTAAGCACTGTTATAAATAACACATCTGATGCATGTATACATGAAGTACTACTGGTATTCTAGTATTCTTGATGCAGCATACATTAGTACCATGTATGTAATTACTTTGATACCTGGCTTTTACCATTGCATTTTCATAGCTTATTTGAGAATCTTGCAGTGAAAATGCTCTGAAATTGAGACAAAATTTCCTACATGGTCTTAACATTGATGCGTGTTGTGTAAGTGAGCAATATTTTCTTCTTACACATTGGCCAGTGAAAGAACAAAGGTAAATTTCAATAGCTCAGTCATAATGGTTGTGCTTGTAAGTTAATTCTGTGGTTTGATGCTCAGATGAATGAACTTGAGTAGATAAAAGTGGGTTTGGACTGTGTGAGTGAAACTGTAATACTCTTGTACTTAGAATATGGAAAATACTGCCATCATGTTTGTGGTTTCCTGACCATGGTAGTCATGGCACAGAGTGAATGTTTTGTTTTTATATAAAACATAACACTCATTCATCATATTCAGTACATTAGTGCATAATCTTGGTTTTCCGAAGATTAAGACTCAATCCAGTGCTATTCAGAAAGAAGGAATTATTAAACAGAACTTCTACAGAGTGAAATGCAACTTCCATATGTTGCAGTTTCTTCCTGAATAGAAGTATAACTATAGTTATCAGTTGGTCAATTGTGTAGTGTGTGCTGTATCCAGATTTATGTTTGGGGTGTGTTTATGTACACAAAATCTACACATGGAATGGCAAGTTTTGGCAAACAGAAACTTTGGGTTTAAAAATAATGAAGTGCCCTTTTTAAATAAATAAAATTTAAAAAAATATATCTTCCATAGATTATACACTTCTTTCTGATCAGTGTCCCATTTCTTTATCCTAGATAATAAACTTATGTTCAGGTCAGTATCATTTTAATTTTTTTGATGGTTCATGTGCACAGTACTTGCAACTCTAACTTGATATGTCTGTGTAACCATAGAGTAAGTACCAGATGATGACCGAAAGATGCTTTCTGTCACATGTTGAATACCAACTGTTGTAAAATTCGAGAAATGTATCTTCATATATAATTGTACTAAGTATGACTGGAGAGAATGAACTTGCGGGAATGGCAAAATGTTGTACAGCGACAATGGATTGTTCAACAGTGTTCAAAGAAACACCACACCTGTGTCTTACTCGAGTTGTACATCTTTTTGTGAATCTCCAACCATGTCCTGACAGAACAAAACAGACTGTTTGTCTTAAAACTGTGAGTGATTTTGATTTTAAAAATAGATCAGCCAGCATCCGTAACATTGCATTTGTTTAAAAAGCAATATCGTAGTTTCTTCCCCAGTTTGCTTGTTGAGATAGGTTTGTATTGATCTTGCAATGTTTGCATAATTTAAGAATAAATCATTTCTGTACATAACTTTCATTCAAAACTTTATTTTACTCAAACAGTGAATATCCTGATTGTACTTAAGTGTTTTAATAATTTACACAAGCTACAACTGGAATGTTTTATGGGAATGAACACTACATTGGTCTGGAAACAAAAACATTTGATTGTTTGATAAATGCATCTAGTTTACTCCTAAAAAGTTCACTTTTAATTGGCTCTTTCATGTTGCACACTGGATTTTTTACCACGTATTCTACATAGACTTGACTGTAAATCTGTTGTAGGAGCTCTCTAACATTCTGAGCATTCACGTCGGTGTTCAAGATGAACTTCAGACCTGATGGTGTCTCAAAGTAATGTAAAGCATATTTACTGGTTTTGTAGTATAAAAATCCTTCCTTTGTGTCAAGGGGAGATATTTTACTGACAAATGACTTGAGTGAAAACAGCATGCCATACATCAGCTTGGCTTCCTGTAAAAGAAGGCAAATGTAAGTACATATTATGAAGAGGAACAGGTCCTACACAAAATTCATACAGGCCCAGCATTTATATGTAAATGAATATATACAAGGTTAAAATGCTACTCTTGTCCCTATACAGCAAGGAACTCATTCTAACACAATATAATTTCAGGGTTCTACTTTCAAAGACGGACTCCAATAACTGGCATATGGGTTACTCCTTTAGGCCTTGGATACATACATACATAGCATTCCATAGATCCATGAGTTAGTCAGATGACCTACCGGATGTGGAATTTGTCAAGCAGGAGTGTTGCAGTTCAAACTACTGAATGTGAAGCAGCTGTATCATCAATGTCTGACTGAAGAACAGGGCCTGATCAATATTTTTATCTCTTCTTTGATGTGGGTCTGGTGAACCTCATCAGTCATGAAATCATATGTATGGAAACAAGGAAAAAATGCAAAAGCTACGATTCCACACTTCCAGCCCTAGCTGATAATAAGGCACTGTTTGATGCTATTATAAACACAGGCCTACATCCCATATCATGTCACTCATTATGTCTCTGAATCATTAACAAAATGCCATTCTTTTTCAATACATTCCCAAGGGATGAGTTCTATCTCATTTGGGAACCTACATTTTGCACATGCAGAGAAAGAACTCGTCTCTAACCGTGCCTGATGTCTTCAACTTCTCTTCAGGTAGCACATTACTCCTGGCATACTGTACCCATGATCCATCACTTGACAAGCTTCAGTACAACTTTACAGACACTTCTTCTCGTGGGTATTTACTAATGAATCTATGCATACACTCCATAAGTTTTCTTTCTTATTTGAAATTGTCCCTGCATTTAAGCTTCTCACCATAAAGATGTAAGGGGGGAGTTGAAGAATAACGTTGGCACTAGATGGAGGTGAGCAGAGTCAGCTTCAAGCCCCAGCTGCTTTACCCCCAAGAAAAGAGCTCCCTGTACTCATCTCTCTAGGAGGCTGGAAGGGCTCCAGGGTCAATCNGGGGGGGGGGGGAGATCTAGTGTCCGTCTAAGCCTACCATATCAATCATAATCGTAAACATGACATTCCTTCTTTCTCATTTGAACTCTGTATTTCAAAACATACAGTTCTGTGAACCCAGTAAAATCTTAATTAACAATGTTTACCCTGGCTAATAACAGTATTGGATCTGTCACTCAAGTTATACAAAATTGTTACACAGGATGCGAAGACCCTGCTATGTCCAAAACTACGTAAATAGTGAAATAGCTGTGTTCTGCTCTTGTGAAACATCCTATCAATCCACCCTCAGATATATCTACACTGACATATGCACATTCGTGCGCTTTTCTGTTAATAAATACTACAGGATTATAACAAGCATAGGATTCCATCTACAAGAGAAATGCCTGAAACTTTAGAAAAAGGAACAAAATGGGGATTGTTTTGATTTAGAAATAGAATGCTTTCTTCTGGCTTTGAGGGACAAACATACAGTCACAATGCTTAGGACTTTTCATACAACAAGCATAAACAAGATGACAAAAGTGTTTCCTAAATATCTGAACAAAGCTCTCATAAAGATACCAAATGTGGTGTTAGATGACATTAAGAATGTAGGAAAAGCTCTCTGCAGTGACCACTGTACTGCCTCTTACAAGTGTATTAGAAGAAAGAAGTAGTACAGGCAAACATTTTTCTGGCTCAGGAAGTAGGAACAGTCAGTTCATATTTACTGCATGTTTTGGTCAGGAAAGATACAGTAAAAGGCCTATAACCCACAAGTTCATGTAAAGTACTGTGGAATCTCCAGTACATGAAAGAACCACCAGTGAATGAATGCAGAAGGCTAAAGGTGGCAGATTATCCAGTAGCCTGGAAGATGATAGGCTAAATGGTCAGCCTCATCTCTTTGACAGAAAGGAAAAGGGGGCTGTCACCTATGGCATATGAACAACCACACGGTCAAAAGCTTCCAAGAAATTATTGAAACAGCCTGTAAGATCCACCCATTTTTATATGTGACAAAGACTTTTCTTTTTTGTCATGCAGCATAACAGGAGGCATCGAACCTACCACTACAGCAACAATGTAAATCTGCACTAATAACAGACCTAGAGTATAAAGAGGCAACTCATTTGAAAGCTAAAAAGATTACCAAATAACAACTACTGGAAAAAAAAAATGTAAAAACATGGAAGGTACATAACAAAATCTGTAACTCATAAAGAATGTCACCACAAGAACAAAATTAGAACATGTAATATCTCCAAGATTACCATCTTCTGCAGTATGAAACCATGTAATTTGATAGGTAGATACCAACAACAGATTCCTCTGAAATATCGGTACTAATTACATAAATGCGGTGTCACATAGCAGAAGACAGTCATTTTCCCAGTTAGCTCTTGAACTCTCGTCTCACTATCTCCAACTTGCCCTCTGTACCTTCTGAAAGCTTATATGAAAAAGAAACAAGCATGATCACTTTAAAGTCAGTGGCACTTGAACCAATTCACTGAATATATCCCGAACACAGGTTACTACATATATAGACAGATCACAAACTGATAAGAACAGAAGTGCTGGAGCATATACATATACATTTTTTTCCCTTCAAGTCACTCTTCAGCTATATCTCCTTTACCTCTTCTCTGGTGATTCCGGATTGCTTTAGCCTGTTCCATTCACAGTAGTACAACATTGTACCAAAACGGTCAAATATGTATAGGTTATGAACAGTCATTTTTAATAGATACTATGGAAGACGAAACAGGCACACTTATTAACTAAAAAACATTCTGACTTGCCGACCTTCCACCATCGACTGGACCGACTGCACACATATGCAACATTCATAGACGAACGGATCACTTACGTATGTATGTATGTATAATGACCATAACGGTTTGCATCCAGTTCTCTATTTCATCGACTCATCGGTCACTTAAAATCCGTTCATATTAATCACCGAAAACATGTGTAATGTCGGTTGAAATTTCCCAAGATTATGCGCAGTAGATCGTCTGCAGCATAATTCCAGAATACGTATAAACATAAATAGACAGAACCGACAGGACCGGACAGGACTGACTAGTTTATCAACTACAGGATTGACTCTTTCGATCACCTCCTTCTTGTTTATGGCATCTTTAATACCGGTTAATTCGTACGCAGAGATATAAACCACACTAATCAATGTCAGAACGCTCAAACGCCATGGTAGAGTCGTAACTGGTGATCATTTCTATCTGGAAAAGTAAAGTGCTAATATTGTATGTGAAGATACTCTTATAATTTAACAGCAACAATAATGAGTTCGATATGGCATAACTGTAAGCGGAGAGACAGTATGTATCCGACGTATAGACCGTATAGACGAACGAAGTGAATTTTCGTGACCTGTAATTACGTAATTAATCGATTGATTCTAGACAAAGACCCATTTTGTCAGTCCCTAAAGTACCAACCTCAAATATTCTAATTTGCTGTTTCTACATCTACTAATACCAAATTTCTTGGATTAATTATGGACAACATGTCATGGAAAGAACATATCCACTGGTTTTCTAGCTACGTAAGAATCCATGGAATGTAAATAAATGAATTAATATCCTCATATATTACATTTTTAGTTAATACGATGTCAGGAGTGGTTGTCACGGATTAAAGCAGAGCAGAGCTTATACTTTCTGCTATGAAAACTTAGAAATAATTATGTTGGATTTGAAGTTCTCATGGGGGTAACTGTGAAGAGTTCGGTCGTGTGGGTTATAAAACCGTGCAATTCGGAAAAAAGTCCAAAGTTTCGGATGAACTTATTTCCCCAATCTTCATGGCCAAAGAGTAAGCTAAGCGAGAACTTGGTATGAAGCAGGCGGCAAGTAGAGCAGGCTTTCTTCTGGTTTCATGAGGTGTATTCATATTCCGAAAATAGAGGCATTATGCTCTTCCATAGCATCAGGTTTTCCCAATTACACGGCCTCACAACTACCAGATCGACCCAAATGATCGTAATCAGCAGTTCAAAGTATATTTTCACTGAGATTTAAAGCAATAAGATCGACCTTAACAAGCNAAAAAAAAAGAAGTACGTTGGATGTCATTGTACGTATGTTTATTGATGGAAAATCTGTGTTTGGAACGTCTGTAATTGAACTTTATGTTTGTATAATTTGCCGATATATCATGTCGAAGAGGAGTTCATTAGATGGGATTAAGAAAGGTGGCAGTTTTAATACTTGAAGAATTGTTGCTTTAAGCATAATTTGATTTCCTACTGAAAATGGGTTATAGCTATGGCGAAGAATTATTACATGTCGTGTTAGCAAAGGGCGAACTACTATTCTGTAAACAGATCGTATAATTTCAGCCCATCCCCAAAACTTTATGTATGATATTAGAGTTTTAGTGTGTTTATGTCATATTTTATTCGTTAAATGAAACGGTGCTTGTGCGATATCATAGTTTTTGTGTTGGTTGTATATTTCTCCTGGTCTGGGTATATTTTTATATAAACCACTGATTAATGTAATCGTAATTTATGTGTTGCAAAAGTCGGCAAACTGAGAATTAGTTTCGTCGCTACCTTACAATGAATAGGTCATACATGTTTTTGGAAGGAAGTCTTTAATCTGCCTTAGCGTGAATGATATTTAACTTATATCAGGCCCGTTGTAATTATGTTTGGAGTGATACATAAGACTGTCACACAGTCTTACATTAGTTTACACTAGTGTTTCAACGTTAAACAGGCTAAATACCAGCTACATGCTATTCTCCTGCTTGGCTTACTCTTTATTCCTGAACATGGAGGCGACATGTACTTCTGAAACGTTGGTTGACTTTCACGAGACTACGCAGTGTTATATCCAAGAGACAACTCTTCAGTTATCGTCACATGACATTCATAAAGCATCCAAGTGTATCTAGACAGTAAGCACGAAGTTTTTAAATATAGAAATATTTATACATTTCTGTATTTTAACAGGTTTGTACGTACAGTCTAGATATATATGATTTTTATGTAGCCTAATAATAACTTCTATGGTTGAAGCTTGTGTATAACAATAAAAGACAAATTTTTTATGTAAGTTTATGTGATGGCTAATCCTCTAATTTAAAACGGACATGAACAGGTTGCAATTTTATAAAGTAAAAGCGTTTTAATTGGTTTGTAATTTTCATGTTGTAATGGTAGCTTTATTATGTCACACGTATTTATGTTAGAATTATTTGAATATTGTCAGAATAGTATAATCTGTGGTTAAGAGACAGAATGTTTGTGTTAGATCTGCTAACTTTTTTTGGCATGTGAAGTTTTCACAATGACTGATTGCAGGATAGTCTCCCAAGACAGTACTTCTATTATTATTCAGTTGTAAATTTATGTTACTTAACTATGACATTACCAGCATAGAGATATATAGGACTAGAAGTCAGTGCTTTAGGAAAATTAGGCATCTTGAGCTCTACGTTAAATACCAGCAGGTAAAAGATGCTTAAGTGAATAATAGTAATCATTTCCCAAATTTAATCTGAACTTTATTTCATCATGAATATTATTGTGATTTATCACTGTATTATCAAGTAGGCTGTATTTAAAAATAATGATATTTTTTAAGAATTTGTTCACTGTGTTTGCATTATGATTTTGTCCTGCATTCTGGTGAGAAGATATGAACAGAGGCCTCTGTTTCTTATATGTCATCTGTAGTACTTTTTTGACATCACTCTTAGTGACGTTACAAATTTAGCAGTGCTAAGTCAGTATTGGTACATTACATTAACACATTTGTGGCAAACTAAGCACTGCTGAGATATCCAGACTAGGAGAAATTTCAAAATTTGAGAATATGAAATAGTAATATTGGTTGGTTAAAAGTGGCATTACTTCGTTAAAGTCTCATGTTGCCTGTATGGTGCTGTTTCCATTGATCTCTCCCATCACCTCTACAAATCTGTTATTTTATGGCAGCACAGAAGTTATCTGGGCAATGCTTTATCCTACAGATTTACTTATCCAGTAATTTTATTTACTTTACATTATGTACATTGCTTTTGTGAGATTTCAGTACTGCCATAGTTATCTGAAATGAAGTTTGGTAAAGGAGCTTCTAGAAAACTGAATTTTTAAGAAGAAAAAGTAAAATTTGGCTTGTGATAGTCTCCCTTCAGCAGAACTTTACTGGATAATACCACTACAAGTCTGTAATCTCTCCACGAGAACAATAAAAGCAAATTATCTAGATTACAGGAGGTGCTGAAAATGTCTGTATACACATTCACATAACATAGAAACAGAATTTTAGGAGGAGGAGGAGGAGGAGGACTTTCCCCCTACCCCTTTTTATAGTGAGGACATACAATATGTAGTTCATAGTGTCTTGGTAGTTGAGAAGGTAGGAGCTATTCCTTGAGCAACGGCCCGTATATACACAGAAGCTAGTATGAGATGTTTTGTTTGTCAAGAGATGGAGGAATAGTAAACATGGAGCTTGACCAAACTTTGAATTATTTTTGAACAAAATGGATGCTGAAAGTCACCACCACACATTTTTTAGCTGGCAGCAATCAGATTTCAGTTGGGTTCATGCTATAATATAAGTGTGACCAGACGTGAGGTTTCCTTTAATTTGTGAACCAGTTGAACTAATTTAAAATGCTGTATTTCCCAGTAGAGCAGAAATACCGAACATTTTTGTTACCCTGCATAGTAATATTCCTTTAGTTTTTTTTTCTAACCATATAGTAAGTAATGTGGTAGTGTAAGTATAATATTGTATGGTGAGAAAGTTACAGGTGTATTAAATTCTTGAAAAGATTTCTTTGAATAATCTTTATTGCAGTGTGTGCATGACTTATGTAAAATTAAATCACCGCTTTAGTGTCTGCAAGGTAAGGAAAAAATTTTTCAGAAATTGCATTTTGTAAATGTATCAAGATTTTTAACTTTCATATGTTCTTATGTCACTGCATAATGATATACATAATGGTCATTGTGTGGACTGTGTAGAGAGAAAATATTGTACCTCCTTTGCCCAAAGCTAAGGCACTACCTCTTTCATGAAGTGACATTTTTGTAGGAGTGATAGATGCACAAGATTTCTACAACCGAGCCTATTTTACACTGACTGAATCAGCAGTTCAGTAATTTTTATTTTGTATATAAATTATTCATTGTCAAATATTGTTAAGGTAAAGGATAAATTTAATTAAAACCTAGTAATCATAATTTTCATTGTTGTCCCAAAATAGAAGCAGTTGGGCTAATTGCAATAGATTATAACATTGTCATCATTAACTCTTAATAAAATTCATGACAGAATTGAACATGTGTAACTATAATGTATGGTTAGTTTGTTTTGGAAGTATGTGGAGAAAAACAAGTTCGCTATGTATAGTTGGGCAAATATGGTACAGTAATATTTAAAAGCAGGTATGCAAAGCCTCTCATTGAAATATAAGAATCTGTTAAAAAGGGTTGAGGATGAGGCTAATTGTGACATCATCTCAACTTTGCCAGTGTTTCACCTTGCTCAGGGTCTTCCCATAATGGATCGGAATCTGATCAGAGTCCAGATGACACAGCAGGAAAGGATGATGGGGCCAAAAAACAGAAACTTTCTTTTGGTTATGGAAAGAGATCCGTTACAAAACCTGAAGAGAAAGTCACTGATACATCCATTAAGAAGGGAATTCAAATAAAATTAGGTTCTCAGGTAATAACAAGATATATATAACAAATCTTCTAGAGATATAGGTGCCACATAAAGTAATTAGGCAGAATAGAAATCCAAACATGAAATGGTACTGTTATTTTTAGTTTTTGTTTATAGAATATGAATTGTTTTCAGAAACGTTAATGTTAACAGAGATCTTTGAGACACCTCTGCAAGCTCATTGTTTACCACAATCTAACATGTGATTGAATTTAAGATGCTTTGATTTGTTAAGAATACAGCACATGTACAAAGTAACATTCAATGTATGTTTGAAGAAACCCTTTAGGAAGATAACCTGTATATCAGGTAATGTAACTTTTGTGTCTGTCTCTTGTATCATACCACGGACCTAGTGGAGTACACGCAACAATAATGTCACATAGTATATATGACTGTAGATGGGTTTTGGATTGGTGAATGGATTTAGTGACCACTTACACATACATGACTTGGAACTACATAGGTCAGATAAAAAAGTAGTGGCAACACTTCTGTAGTTATGAAATGACTTTATTACTTGAGGTAAACACACTTAAATTCCTTCAACATAATCATCCCCCCCCCCACTTGTACCACCTTCTGCCAAATTTTTGGAAGGTGTCATACACCATCAGCGCATCCACTTCTGTTGGTGTCCAGCAGTGACCGCCCTGCAGCATGAATAATCTCCTCTCTTGTGTTGTAACGTGTCCCTCGCAGTGGCTCTTTCATTTTGGCAAAGAGAACATAATCGCACGGACTCATATCGGGTGAGTATGGCGGATGTTGCAGTATCTCCCGTCAGCAGCGGCGAAGGAGAACCTTGACAGTGTCAGCAGTATGAGCCCTTGCATTGTCATGAAGGCTGATGAGGTTCGTTGCCAACAAGTGTCGTCGCTTTCTCCTGAGTGCTGGATAAAGATGATTATGCAGGAAATTGTATGGGGTACCCAACATGCTGCAATTTTGCAGTATCCAAGAATATCATGCAGAATGTGGAGCACGGTTTTGTGACATATGCCTACCTCAGCAGCTAACTCCCATACAGCCTATTGACAATCCACATCCAGCAAAGAAGCAAGGTGAATTGTGTGGTTGTCAACGTGGGGTTGTCCTGAATGGCATCCTTTCCTTCACGAAACAATTTCACCCATCGTGCCACTGTGCGATATGGCAAAGCAGCATCACCACATGCTTCTCACAGTCTCTGATAACAGTTTTGTGCACTACGACCTCATGCAACTTCAATTTTTATCCAGGAGCATTGTTCTTGTTTCGTAAACATGTTGTTAGGGTGCTTGAACTGTGCTCCTGCATTTAAAGATGATGCACAATGCAACTCAATGAAACACAACCAGAGCCACTCACTGCACTATTTCAACTGAACTTCTGCTATCAGCTACAGATGGCGCTAGTGCCACCTGACACACATCTTTCATGTTACAGCAGTGTCACCACTACTTTTTATCCAACGCTTGTACAAGCAATTATAGTGTGACCACTAACCTTCACAAATCACCACAACACCTACTAAGCCTTTTTCCAGCCTGCTGTGTCTTCATCAGGCATTACCTGGTAATGGTTTCTAGTAATGGGAATTCTTCAGCTTCACCCATTCAGGTTCTCTCTTCACAGCCTTCCACACAGAACTGAACTGAACTGAACTGAACTCACCAAGCTCTAAACCTCACGGTTATAACATCTCAGTATGGACCACACAGTTCTATTGTTGTGTGCATTACCTATCAACAGCTGCTGTTTACAAAGGCACTGCTTAACAATGGGTCTGTATGTCACATTGCTCCCTCCTTAAGGCTATTCATCCCAAATAGCTTACAGGCATACCGCCATTTCTTCTTTTCCAAGGGCTGTGCTTATGATGCCTGTGATCAGTCTCACCTTTCTCCCCCATGGCTTGGTTTGCACAGTGTCTCTGCAACTGATCCTGTTGTTCCCTCTTTAAGGCTGCATGTCCCAAGTGGTTCCCTCATATGGTGCCAGTATTAGATATAGTAATGCAACAGAATGCTTAAATACAGGATTGCATTGACAATTTTCACTGCAGCCTCTTCTTAAGGGACTTCATGATGTTTCGACTCAGACTGTCTCCACTGAGGTTGGCTCCTTACTCTTCAGACAGGCCTCCATCGTCACTTCTTGGCAGGTCATCGTCTTGTTTCGCCATGCCTTCATTTTTGCTATAATCTGTTTTAAGTTGGCATCAGTTTTTGCTTGGTTGTTATGTATCACAGCATTGAGCCCTCCTATGGTGGCTGTCAGATGTTTTTCATTTTTGTAGTATGTGTGACTGTAGACGTTTGGATTGGTGAATGAATTGACCACTTAAACACAACATACACAGACCTACAAGCAGTTACAGCACCACCACTAATCTCCACAATTCACAAATCGCCACGACACGCACTAACCCTTTTTCCAGCCTGCTGTCTTCATCAGCCATTCCCTGGCAGTGGCTTCTAACACTAGAGATTCTTCAGCTTCAAACGCTCAGGTCTTCTCTTCACAGCCTCCTGTGCAGAACTAAACTGAACTCACTAAGCTCTAAACCTTCATATTATAATATATTGGCATGGAACGCATAGAAAAGTTTTTTTCCAATTCTTATTGGCGTTACCTAGCAGTGGCCACTGTTTACAAAATTACTGCCTAGGAACAAGTCTGTAAGTCATGTAGTTTGCAGTTTACTCCATACTCTTGCCAGTATGTGTGGTAGCCATGGCTGTTAAGTGATGCACAGATATTGCAGTAGAGTTTCATGTTATGTTTAGAATCCTCAGTTCCAATTTTCTTGTTTTCTCTCATTGTTTGAAATTACACAAGCAGACTTTAATTCTTTAATTTGAATGTTATTCCTTTAAAGTCATGTAATGGGCAAAGAACACATTGTTCTGCATGTTAAATGTGAAGCACTATGAAGTGAGGACATATCTTGATCTGCAACATATCTGAATATGTGGAGTATTGAGCCACAATTCTTTACCTGATGCAGCCCCATCAAAATAAATTTTTACATGTCAGATTTGGAATACAGGGTGGTTTTCTGATGTTCCTAGAAGTTTTAAATTTTGCTACTGATAACTGATTATATCAAGGTTTTGCATATATTTTGCTGTATATTTTTTCTGAGGGTTTTCCTAAAATAATGCAATTTGAAGGTAAAACCATGGAAAAAAAGATGCAAACAAAACGGATTCTTATAGCCCAGTGAATGAAGCTGAAAGATAGAACAAAAGATTATTTCTTGATGTAGACTAATGTTGAGTATTTACGCTGACTGGGAAATGTTAATATTGCTGTACTGCCGTGTTTAACCTATATTAATATCACACGGTCTGTTACATCTATATTTTAATGTATCTGAGGAGATATAATCAGTATAATCAGTTGTATTAGTGTATAATAGAAACTCATCAGTATTAGCTGTTTGTAAATCCCTTGAACCAAAGCCACAGTATTAAGTAGAGCTTCTCAGTCTCTTTTTTATATTATGATTACATTTATATCTCTAGTTGTAATTAAATGATTTCAACTGTGGCTTGTTTTTTAAGTTAATTCATAATATTCATTTATAAAACCCCAAAACATGTTAAAACAAAACGAACATTTTACACACACAAAAATCACTGGATTAGAAAACGACTGATTTGTGCTTCCAAAATTTTATTACGGTAAATATATGCTAACATCTGTGCAAGACAGATTAAAATATAACATTTTAACATTTGTATTTTTGTAATTCATTTCACAAAAAACTAATAGAAACAACTTAACCAACTGCATAAGCAAATAGCTCACTTGTGTTAGTTTGTCTCTGACATGAAACACTAAATTCAATGTAATATGAAGTGGGCTGACAGAGACCAGAGATTCACATATATAATTTTTCCTCTACATGAAAATGATGTTGTAGAATGGAAAAATGCATTGCTAAAAATAAGTCACTTCAGTCACTTTGCTTCTGAGGTCATCTTTTGTTTTGTATATACAGTTCAGCCATTTGACATACAAAAATTTTTAAACTCAGTGCAACAGTGCAGACATACTGGATTCTTTTCTATGTGTTGTTCAACCTTATCTAAGGCTAATGGAAACTCATGACTGACATTATTAGATTCACTAATAGTTAATATTTATATTAAATCCTTGTGGTTTGTGTACATGCTGTTTTGTATGTTTTTTTTTTTTGGTGTACGCTTGTATAAATTGAAAATATTTCCCATGCATTTTTATTGTTTCATACTTTCGGTCTTATTTTAATTTAAATTGAAACTCTTAAATTTTGCTATGACTGTTCATCTGAAGTCAGACTTGTGCAGTGCATGTCAAATATTAACAGTATGTGGTGTGGCAAACTGTACTTGCAGTATTGAGTTTTGTTCAATATACTAGTGAGGCTGTGAATGTAACACTTCCCTTCCTGTTCAGAAACCTGTTCATCAAAGCAGTGCTGTTAAGTCACAGTCCAGTGCAGTTGCAGCTGCATTCAACTTAGATGAAGAAGAAGAACCTGAAGAAATGCCTCCTGAAGCACGTATGAGGATGCGTAATATTGGCAGGTATGGATTTAAAATTGAATACTTGATTTTTTTGGAATCCACGAAGTCATTGTATCTCTTTAACGAGGGAAATATATCTTGAACTGCCAAAATGTGGTGAAATAACTTTCTTCATGGCACCATAGAACCAAAAGTTCTATCCTGAGTAGATCAGGGTGGTTCACATCATGGATCTGTGGGGTTTTATGTAGTTTTGTCATTACTCCGAAGACAACCCACTTCTTCGGAACAGTTTGTTGGTCCTGAAAAGGACCGTGGTTGCTGAGATGCTTGACCGGTGAGGTAGCGCGGCGTGCGCCGGTAGGGAGAGAGGTTGCGGTGAGTGGACTGGCCACAGTGCGGCCATTGCTTGATCACGGTGCGGCAGATGGTGGAGGTTGCTTGATGGCAGCACGGCGGCTGCTGGCGAAAGGCTGGTTGTTGAGTGCGGTCGTAGGAGTGATGAGGCAGTGGCTACGCCAGATGCCCAGTGGGTCGGACAGGGACACGACCAGCGGCAAGTCCAGGCGAGGTGCCCCAGTGAGTCGGATGTGAGAGAGCCAGAGGGCCAAGGCAGTCGTGCCTGGCGCAGCCTGCCGATGCCTCCGAAGACCAAGCGCTGGCGACGAAGCCTGCTGGCTGATGTTGCTTGAGTGTGGCTTGATCGTAGACTGAAGTCAGCTGATCTTGCCGGGTTGCGGCTGCTCCTTTTTATACACTGCTCGGTGGGCTGAGTGAAACTTGAAATTAAGGAGGAAGAATTTGCAGGGCACTGATTGGCTAGCGCGCGTGATGATGTAGATGTGGGGCTAGCAGCGAGCGCAGTATAAATGCAAACGTTTGGAGCAGTTTGATTGGTTAGCACGCGTGATGATGAAAAGTGATGTGAAGAGTGTGTGTTGCAGAAAATGCGTGATAATGTGAGATGTTCCCACAGATCATTTATACTCCCATCCTTCGTTACCTAGAAAGTTACTTGCCAGTTTATCCCTCATACAGATGTGCAGACTTTCTCAGACATTCTTAATTTCGTGACTTTAACACTTGACGAAGAGTATATATCTTATAGTTCCTGAGTATGTAATTTTTGCCTATCCAAAATTAGTTTCTTGCTCTGAGAGGTTAAAACTGGACGTTCTCAACCCATGCCATTTTGAATGAAGAGGTTTGTTAGGAATGTACAAAGTGCAACAGCAGTAACAACAGTAGTAATATTTGTTGATGATAATTATTCATTTAGTTAATAATAATAATAATAATAATTCAATTTATTAATTTACATGCTGAGCTCAGCAGCCAGTGACAGTTGACAGAGTCTGCATGAATACAGCAGCAACAATTTATTTTTTTTAGAAAACATAAAAACTTCTTGCTTTATGTCGGACCATTTTCTAACATTTAGGGTGGAAGAGGGATATAGGGAAAGGATAATATGTTAAGCCATAGAAACAAATGTAGGATTTCCACAATTCTGGTGATGTTTCTCAGCTTATAAATTTCTGTCCAAGTTACTGTATTCACTCTTCATTTCCAGTTAAATTGCAATGAATTTAAATCTGTTTGTTACAGAGAAACTCCGACTTCAGCAGGTCCAAACTCATTTGGTAAGACAAAGCAAGGTTTCTGTGATGCCAAGAAAATATTTGAGAAAACAATGAAGAAGGCAATGGATAGTACAGATAGTTCCAAGAAAACAACAGAGTGAAATGACTGTGGTATACATATATATCTTATGTTTCAGACTAGTATCCAGAAAAACTGAGGACTGCGATTGAGTTTGATTTATAAGATTTTGACCAATTACTAGGTCTGTTTGAAATGCAGAACATTATAAATATCCTCATAATTGAGTATCTGATGGTCATTGAATTGTGTAGTTCTTATTGCCAGTGTCAGAACGTAATAGATGCACATTACTTTATGATGATATGGTAACATTACTGATCTTATTGTTTGTTCATTTCAGATTACATTTTCTTTGTGGTAATGTGTATATTTAAGAAGTGAGCTGTCTTATGTTTTTTCTCTATCTTTATTCATTCACAGTTCATGTTGTTAAATCTCATTACATGAGTGACTGATACACCAGTACAATAAATACTACTAAAATGTATATGCAGTTTTATTGCTATAGTTTGTCACCAGCATTTGATGGATGCAAGATCTGAAGCTTTCGTTGTGGTTGAAGTTAATCAAATCTTCTCAGGCCATCAGCCATGTCGGTTGGTTACAAATTAATGGTGTTTCAGGGAAAATCTCTGGCATCATCAGGATGTGATGCGACATAGGATCCAAACTTTCCCATCTGTATACCTAACCATGGCCCATGATTGAAACTGATCACTAGCCAGTGAGAGGCTAGTGGGTGAATTCATAAGTTTGCTTGGCTTGGGCTTACCTTCGGATTCGTGTATCTCTATTACTGCTTTACTCTCTGGGTGCCAGGATTGATTGAGTGTGAAAGCTCAATCCCTTTTGAAGTTTCAGGGGCAAAGCCTGATTTTGTTAGCCTCCTCTATCAAGCAGTGCATATATCCTAGTACTTTAGTATGAGTACCAGGAATCTTCTTGGGGCGAGGGGGTAAAGGGCAACCGGCATGTAAGGCTGACAACCTCACTGCCTTCTGTGAGCGAGTTGTCTAAAGAAAATGTGGGAGTCTCAGTGTCTCACAACCCTATGGGTCTTCACAGCCTGTTACAGAGATAGCTTTACCTTTTTAAAAAAAAAACTGGAATAGCACAGTTGGTATGATGACTGGCTACAGGCTGGACTACCAAGGGGTCAGAGTTTGAGTACTTGTGGGGGTAAGAATTTTCACTTTTCTATGTCATCCAGACCGGCTCTCTGGGTCCACCCAACCTCCTACCCAGTGGGTACTGGGGGCCTTTACCCCAGGGGCAAAGTGGCAGGGACATGAAGCTAATGCAAATCTGAGCTGAGAGACTGGCTAACCTGACTGATGACTTTCATAATTTTCTCCAGCCTTTCCAGGAAAATGCCAGGACAGTAAGTAAAATTAGGTCACAGCCTCTTTGAAGTGGGCATGTAAAGTGTGTTAAATCCACAAACAGTGAAAATTGAGTTATCCATGGAACCTAATGCAGAAGAGTCTACTTTGTGTATATCATGTTAAGTCATATTTAAGACTTTGTGGCATGTAAATTTTATTATGCTATGCTCTTAGGATCCCTTATTTTATAACTTACCACACTTTAGACACTCACCCACAAATTATCATAATACAGGGAGATTATATGAAATTATTGGGGATCATCAGTGTGGGTTTTGACATAACAGATCAACTACTTACCAGATCTTTTGCATTTGTCAGATACTGGAGAAAGAATGGGAGTACAATGAGACAGTAGTTACTATAGGATTCTGATGATGGTGTATAACACACTGAGATATTTGGTTTTAGGACTTTATCCATCGTCCTGGTTTTTAAGATAACTAATAAAAGCACGTTTCGGAAACCGTATCCGTTTCCGGTGAGGACGGAAACGGATCCAGTTTCCGAAACGTTGTGTTTTTATTAGTTATCTTAAAAACCAGGACGATAGATAAAGTCCGAAAACCCAATGTCTTAGAATGAGACAGTACATTGGCTATTTGTAGTCTTCAAGAAAGCCTAGAGTATTCTCATAGTTTGGAATGGCCATGAAACTAGCTAGGCTGACTGAAATGTGTTTAAATGAAATGCATAGTGAAGTCCATATAGGTAAACATTTGTCTGATAATTTTCCTATCCAGAATAGTCTAAAACAAGGAGATGCTTTATCACCACTGCTTTTCAACTTGCTTTATATTACATCATATGCAGTTAGGAAGATCCAGAAAAACCAAGTGGGACTGAAATTAATGGGACAAATCAGCTGCTGGTCTATGCTGATGATGAGAATCTACTGGGAGATAACATACATACCGTATAGAAAAACACGAAAACTTTAATTGCTGCTAGTAAGAAGGTTGGTCTAGAAGTAAACAAAGAGAAAACTTAAGTGTATGTTGCTGTCTCGTCACCAGAATGGACGAATGATGTGATGTGCTTAAGCGGTAGTTGCTGGACTCCCACTGCTGCGGTCTAGTCAAGTGGGATTTGTGATGGACAAAGTGGCACTGGGGCACGTTTTCTCCGAGTACTTCTGTTTTCCCTGCAATCCTCATTCCATCAAATTCTCCATAAGCATTATTACCAGTACAGGTACAACAAGACATATGGAAGCTGATGTGCTGAGGGGACCTAATATGGATTCCACCTCACACTATACAAACTCTTAATCTACTGTAATCTACTGTAAAAACTGTAAGTATTGTAACTTCATTCTCTTATTGTAATCAGCCAATGTACAGTAACTGACTTGTCTCATATCATGTAACAATGATCTATAGAGACGAAATAAATAAATAAGTCATCATGAATTTGTAATATGTGACATGTTTTATATCCAGCCCTATAGGCAGATGATTGGATCCATGAGGTGAAAAATAAATGTAAATGTAAACACTGTTACCGTTTATAAGCCTTAATTTCGTGAATCAGAATGAAATATTCTAGCATCTACTGGCGAATAAAATGCTGCACTATCACTGTGTAATTAATTTAAAATCATGTGAGGTCAGGCGTTCTGTGAAAAGTAACAGTGAACAACTACGTTTAAACTTCTAGCAGGTTACACGACGTCACATGTCACAAGCTCGTGAACTCGTGAACGGAGTCAATTCATTTTTTTTAAAAGATATTCACAGGCAGAGGATTCGGCAGTAGTAGAATGTAAGTCCGTGTATAATTGACCAGAGTATATAAAACCTAGCTCATTAATCCGTGAATTTGGGTGGCTGACGCTGGTCGATTGGATATGCGCGAAGGCCGAGAAGAATAATGTCATTGAAAAACGAGGAATTATAACCTTAAAATCCGCCGAAGACTGCAGTTAATTAAAAATAGTTGTAGAACAGTACGTTATGACACTTTTAAGAAAAATATTTATTTTTAATACGAAACATCGAATAGTAAGCTATTGGAGCACAAAAGTAAATCGTTCAGTCGCAAGTCTTACTTCTTATGGTGAGGATGCTAAAGATTTTGGGAAAAACTATGATGATTTGACAACAAATGCTAGTAATAGCAACTTAGAATTACAGAATACGGTCGGACAATGTGCTCCACATAATCAGAGGAAGCATAAATATACGAACGATATTGGCAGAGGACCTGAGTTAAAGGATTTCATAATTGCTTCTCAAGTACAACCAGTGAAATGTGAGAGTGTGCCGTATGTAAGAAACGCAGCAATTAATGGTTTGAATAGAAAAGGTAATACTAATTGTCAACCAGTTGCTATCAGTATATGTCACAAAATCTTTCACATAATTGTAATGTTTTCGTGTAGTATAGACGTACCTAAAGAGAGTTAAGTAAAGCAGTATCTATCCAAGTAATTCATCCCTGACTGGCAGAAAAGCATTCAACTTTGGAATTCATTTGATTTGCATAGGTACATATATATATATATATAACTTTATAATCCATATTTCAATTATAAGCTGAAAGCATTCACGTGTATGCCTTTGCCAGTAATTCTCTAAGAAAGGAAATAAATGCAGATATTCCTTTATCATTTGTTTTGCCATATCTTCAGCTTTAGTAATGTCTGACGTTATTAATAAATTCAGTAGCGCTGCAGGAGAAATTAGAAGTCAGAATGATTTCCTCATTATTATAATCGTTCTTTCCTTCATAAACCATTTTTTTTTGTGTCTGGTGATTCTGTTTTATGTATTATGCTCATGATGAACATGGCAATAAACCTTATGTGGTACTCATGGAATGACCTAATGGAACTGTAAAAAGGTTTTGTGCTTAAGAAGTTTAATTTTTGGTCATTCTTCATAATGTGTTAAGAGGTCAACTTGTAAGGGTTTCTCGCAGTCCATTTAGGTTCTCTCAGGTCAGTAATGTTAAATTCCTTGGCTCAGCTGAGAATTATTTTGTAAAAGAACTGATATGCTAAGTTTTTTAGACATGGAACCACTCCATCTTGTGAATTCCCTTCACTGAGTTTCTCATGTTGCTGTTCAGTAATATGCTTCTTCTTGTTTTCACCACCTGAATTAACACTGAAAGCATCAGCATGATAACAGTGCAAAGGAACTCTTATGTATGTTTCAGTAAAGAAGATTGATTATTTATAATTTCTTGAAGCCTCACACTCATATCAAATAAATATTTTGTCTGGTGTAAATAGGAAACTGCTGCAGGCAACAAAATGTGTTGGTATTGTTTTCTAGAGGAGAAAACAAAATGGTCAGTATTTTGGTGAATGTTTTGCCAAGCCTTGAGTCTTAGTTTCACCAGCTCTTGCAGTTTAAGCTTCTTTGAGATATATTTTCTTATCATGAGTACTGTTCTTAACTTGTTATAATCACCTGATTTCATTGAGTTCTGTAATTTGTCCATGGGTGCCCTGTTGGAACTGTCTGGGGACAGAATTATCGGTAGTTATTCATGGCCAGTATGTTACACCAATCCCAAACTGTGTTAACTTTTTTATGTGGACCCATGAAGCAAAAAGTTTACAGGTTGAAGTCTCACACCGTGTAAGAACTGAATGTAAATATTGAAAGATAAATTTAATCTATAACCTAAGGAGAACTTCAACATGTGAATGTAAACTTTTCATGTAGGTGTAAAGAAAGCATGCAAGCATGGAGAGCATTACCATCATCTGGGATATTCTGAGTAATTTTATTTATAGTGTATTAGGTTGTAGATTTGTCATTTCTGTTAGCAGCCGAATCTCCATGGGCTGAGCTACACAAGAGGAATGTCCATATCTTCGATCTGAGAGGTTCAGTGGTTTATGTGTTGAAAATAAATTTGCTCTATTTATTGAAGTGACCAAAGTTGATTGTGCAGATAGACAAGATTACAGAGTGGAGGAGTCAGACACTTATTTTGTATGAAGAATACTTGTTTATTTTCACCCAAATTATTACAGCTGTCCCAGTGTAGCATTCATTCTGGGAAGTCTGTTAGCCTGTTTTAATGGCTGTTGTAATGTTGTTGCTTGTCTGGAAATTTTCAGCTCTTTTTCTTGTTCTTGTAGCAATTTCATATTTCTCATTGTGTGTGTTTCAGTATACTTTGAGGTGTATGGGTGCCAAATGAATGTGAATGATACAGATATTATATGGTCCATTCTGAAGGATGTAGGATACATGAAGACAGAGTCCGTCGAAGAAGCAGATGTTATATTAGTAGTAACATGTGCCATCCGTGAAGGAGCCGAGACAAAGGTCTGGAACAAGTTAAAGCATTTTAAAGCACTCAAGAAAGCTAGAGAAACGCAGAAACTGAAACCACATCTAAAGATTGGAGTATTAGGTAGGAATGATATGTGTATATAGTAACAAGCAGTGCAATATATTATGTCCCATGTCCGTAATTAAAACAGTGTGTTAGAAAGTGTGGATACAACATAGTGTAACAATTGTGGTGTGTTCAGTCCTATTTATTTAGACATCTCAAGCCATGAGACTTAAGAAGTGTGTTGGACATCAAATGTTCATTTCATTTCTCTCTCTGGCTAGGAGGTTGGTGTAACCGTAATGCTCTTGACTTGAATTTGGGAACTGTGTTCAAATCTTGGCTGGGATACCAGGTGTTATGACCGAAGTTTTGTGGCTTTCTGCAATCCCTCAAGGCAAATGACAGGATGGTACCTCAACTAGGCCACCAGTACTTCCTTCCAAATCCTTTCAAGTTCATTATTCGCCAATTGTTTTAGCATTGGATTTTTTTTATTGCTAGTGGGGTGGGACTAAGTCCCTTGTATTGTGGCCACTTCTGGCCTATTGTACCAGCCCCAGATGATAGGTGAGGGTGATTGTGGAGTAATTGCTGGAATGAAGATTGGCAAGGGAAACCGAAGTACTCGGAGAAAACTCGTCCCAGCGCCACTTTGTCCACCACAAATCCCACTTGACCAGACCTGGAATCAAACCTGGGCCACCACGGTGGGAAGCCAGCAACTAACTGCTTGAGCTATGGCTTAAAGTGTTCGTTACTGTTGTCTGATATTGGCCCCAAATTGGATTATGTTGTCATATTTCAGTAAAAGGCTGCAATATCAAATTTAATGAAAGTCCATGCAGTGGTTTTTGAACTGTTGCATGTAGACAGAGACATACAGGCATGTTAAAACTAATTTGGACATTTTTCAGCTTTCTGTTGCAAATTCACCAAAAAGTGGAAATAGAGAACATTTGTTAATATTTCTATCATCACAGGTCATATATGTTTTTAGGTTTTCATGGTAATGAGTATTCATACGTAGTCTTCTGGGTTTTACACCATGTAGTTTTGTAGGTGAATATCAGAGATTGAGAGACATGAGCTGACTCCATCAGCATGGTCAGAGTAAGCAGGATGACTGTGTGGTCAAGATATATAGGCAGGTTCCAAAGGAAAGTGTTCACACAGATCCACAGGAGAGGGAGAGGAGATACAGCCTGGTCCAAGCCAACAGGAACAGTGAACAAAAGTGTGAGAATAGAGGCCCTTTATGAGGGACTAGAATAGTAATCCTTTTCAAGGTCAATGTGAGCTTGAAGTGGAAAGTGAGAAGAGGTTTCCTTTTTGAGGGTCCTGGATGAGGAGTGTTGTCTCAGAAAGAAATGACTGTCCGACCTTAGGGAGAACATTCAGGAAGTGGGAAAGAGGAGGGAAGAAGGAAAGAGCACCATATACTGATAAACTGTAAAAAGTGAAATATTGTCGTAGAGTGTACTGTGTCCAACATCATTTTTTGAAAAACTGAGTTTGAAGCTGGGAAATCAGCTGCAGTGTAAAGTGTGACATAGAACAAAACTAACAAACTGTATGGAGCTGAATCCTTGAGAAGCCAACAGTGGCTCAGAGGGTGAATGAATTCCCAGCATTTTATGGAATGCAAAGGTTCATTATGATAGTCACAAGAGTCTGCCACTGTTCCTATCTTGAGCCAGATGAATCCAATCTACCCTGCCCATCCTGTTTCTTGAAGATCCATTTTAATGCTATCCTCCCATCTATGTCTTGGTTCTTTCTAGTGTTCCTAGTGGTCTCTTTCCTTCAGGTTTTCCACCTTAAATTCTCTATGCACTCCTCTGTCTTTCCCATCTCATCCTTCTAGATGTGATGATTCTAAAAATATTAAGCAAAGAGTAAAGATTATATAGCTTGTCATTATGGAGTTTTTGCCAGTCCTGTGCAACTTTGTCCATGTTAGGTTGAAATATTTACAGAGCCGTGTTCTCAAACACACTCATTCTGTTTTGATATGTGATGTCTTAACCATTACGTTTGTATTAATGTTGATCATAATAATACCGTCAACCACTGTAATTTGTATAATTTATTTTACAGCTTTTGCATGCTTTGACCTATATGGGTCATCTTCAAAAGGCACACATTAAAAGGAAGTGCTTTTAAATTGCTTTAAAATGATAATGCTATAAAATTAGTCTGATTATAAAATATTGTGGCTCAACAGTTCCTGCATAGAGCAAATACACTACAGTATGGAGTATGACTGTTGTTCTACTTTCTTCCTGCTTGTTCTTATCTGTTTTTTCTGTTGTAGTACATACACATGTTACATGTGGTTGTTAGTGGTAGGTCTGTTGTTTATGTCATATGCAGTCTTTTTTTTTTTTTTTTTTCAAAAATACTACTTAAATAAACTTTGTTCATTGTAGAGTTTAAATTTATGCAGTGTCATTTAATTACATTCTTTTCAGTCAGAAAAACTTTGATGCATGTGTGGAGAATGATGTATAGACAGATAGATGATTGTAAATTGTGTATATCATTGTGATACAGTTACTTTTGTGAGACCACACAGTAGTATATCCCAGAAGATAACATTCCCAGCTACCACTATGTGAACCTCAAATCCAACACTTTATTTGCTGTTAAATTGGAACAGTGTGAGTAGAAGGAGAGATACATCAGTGGTTTTATTGCCGAAATAAGCATAACCAAGATGATGTGTAATGACACAGTGATTTTTATCATTGTGGGCATTGACATGTTTTAGAAAGTAAATACTATGACTGTTTTAGGATGCATGGCTGAGCGACTAAAGCATCAAATATTGGAGAAAGAAGAGATTGTGGATATTATTGCTGGTCCAGACAGCTACAAGGATTTGCCAAGACTTCTGTCTCTTACTGACAGTAATCAGACTGCAGTAAATGTACTGCTTTCACTGGATGAGACATATGCTGACATTGTGCCTGTGAGGTTGAATCAGGATTCAGTTACTGCATTTGTGTATGTAAAATAATTTTGTTCCTTAAATTTGAATAAATGTATGTTTTTAATCGGATATAGCAAAAACATTAGTGTAAAAAAAGGACATTTCAGCATAAGTGAATATTATTGTGGCTAATTCCACCTGTCCCATTTAAATCTATTTTAGTTACTTGTAAATTACTTATTTTGCAACTAAATTGAGCTTCTTGTTAGTTTGTCATGGAAAAGGGAACTGAAAATTATTTCCACTTATTTCTTAGGGTGAGGGCACACCAAGGAAACTGGCAACTGCAATGCATCCACAATTTCTAAGAATTGTTATCAGCCTGAGTTGAACACATGTTACTGAATGGAGCAGCGCAAATTGAGGAAATGGCAATGCAGTTTCCTCAATTTGCGCTGCTCCATTCTGAAACATTTGTTGAACTCAGGCTGATAACAATTTTCGGAAATTGCGGATGCAGTGTGGCTTCCAGTTTCCTTGGCATGCCCTTGCCCTTATTTTCTGACCAAGTGCTAAACAGCAATGTGAAAACTCAGGGCCTAAGTATGACTGCAGTTATTCATGAAGTGCAAAATCAAAAGGCAGATTAATTTTTCCAGAAGATGGTAGATTTTGATGTTGTTCGTGGTGCAATCCAAAAGTTCCCAAAATATATTAATAAAAACTATTATGTCTTACCTGGATCTTATTGACACCATCACCTTCAAAGTAGCCCCCTTGGGAGTGCATACACCGATCCCAGCGTTTCTGCCGCTTTTGAAATGCATCCTGGAAGTCTTTCTTTGTTAGGGTGTTCAGTACCGTCTGCGTTTCCCCTTGAATTTCCTCAACTGTATCAAATCTTCACCCCTTCAACTTGATTTTCATCTTGGGGAACAGAAAGAAGTCGCAAGGAGCTAAGTCTGGCAAGTACACTGGGTGGGGAACAACTGCCATCTTGTTTTTAACCAAAAATTCCTGCACAATGTAAGCCATATGCTTTCGTGCATTGTCATGGTGGAGCACCCAGTCATTCATGTGCCACTTCTCTGGACGTTTTCTCCTCATGTCCTCCCCCGAACGCCTTAGAATATCACGATAGAACTCTTTATTGACTGTCTGACCAGGAGGGACGAACTCCATATGAACAGTCCCGTTAATATCAAAAAAGCAGATCAACATATCAACATGGACTTAATGTTGCTCTTGACTTGTTGAGTTTTTTTTGGCTGAGGTGAAGAAGGGCTCTTCCATTGTGATGACTGCTCCTTGCTTTCAGGGTCATAGCCATAAACCCAACTTTCCCCACCAGTGACAACCTTCGAAAGAAAGTTTGGATCCTCTTGAAGCTGTTGTTGAAGTTCCCTGCAGACTTCCAAGCAATGATGCTTCTGTTCATTTTGCAGCAGTCGTGGCACAAACTTCGCCGCAATCTTCCTCATGTTCAGTTCCTCTGACAAAATTTGTTGACATGTACCATAACTTAGTCCCAAGGTGGTACAGAGGTCTTGAATGGTTAGTCTATGATCTTGCAGAATCAGATCCCTAACTTTTGTGAAATTTTTTGGTGTGGTGCCAGTTGACGGCTGTCCCAAACAATCGTCATCATCAGTCGATGTTCTACCATTTTTTAAACACTTATACCAGTCATAAGTTTGTGTCTGGTCTAAACTCTTTGTCACCAAAAGCTTGCTTCAACATTTGGTGCATTTCTGCAGTGGTTTTCCCAAGTTTAAAACAAAACTTTATATAGACACGCTGCTGTCTCAGGTCAACTATCGCAAAACCACAAACTCATGGAAACACAACAATGGAAATATGTTCACCAACAATAAACCCAACTACTCAACTTGACACTGCTTGCCACACTGATTCAAGAAGGGTGCGTGGGGAGACCTAGTGGAATTTCGATGTACTCATAACCATTCGTGTGCAAAATTCAAATTTTGGGAACTTTTGGATTGCACCATGTATGATGGTTGTTATTGGTAACAGTACTGTAATTTTCACATCAGAAATTAAGAATAGTAGGAAGTGGATACTAAATCTATTGAATAAAAATGCTGTTGCAACTGTTGAATGGAACTACAAGCACAGGAACATCTTATTGATCAATCAGCTAAAATTCAGCAGCCATAATTTTCTTGTTGACTTGAATGTGTTTTGGCTATTACAGGACGAGTAACTACAGTTAGTTTCAGAAGGGTTAAAGGATTTGCTTCCTTTGCTACCAGATACCCTTTCAAATGGATTTTTCTTCAAAGGTTTCAATAAGAAACCAGAGAAAATGTGTATCGGAGAATGATTTACACTTATGTGTTACCACAGTGCAACTGCATATTTTTAAATTATTAAAAATCTAAACATGACTGAATTTCGTTTAATTCAATTTGGTGTAAGATTATTTGGAGAAATAAGTTTTTATTACTTTTAAATATTATTTTCCCCCCTCCTTTTGATTTATTTTTATTGAAACAAAAGCTGCATATTTTTTAAAGTACGCGTTACCTCTCGGAAAAATTGTTGATTGAATTTGTAATTTATTTTGATATTTGGTTCTTATTATATGTCTGTTTCTCAGAATTTCTTCTGCACAGATATTATGCTTGTAATACCTAATTTAAGATGTGAAATTTGAGGTTCTCACAGCAGTGACTGTGAAGAGTTCTGGGCTGTAATGATAGGCAGTCAATAGAAATATATTGATGTTATCGAAGGACACGCTGCCACCATCTTCAGGGTTGAAAAATAAGTCCAGCAAGCTTTCTATGACCCAGAAGATGTAACACACACTATCAAAAAGTCAGTACACTTTTACAACATTACATGGTATCACATCCTAGAAGAAGTAGGACTCCTCGTAGTTGAGTATAAATATTCATATTAGCATCATGAGCCTCATGTTACCATTCAGGATGAGAAATTATGCTAAGTAAAATAAATTTCACTGCGTAGAAACTTTACTTTCAGACTTTGCTCTCATATTGTTTTACTTTCCATTTTTTTATTCCTAATTTTAGGTCCATTATGCGTGGATGTGACAATATGTGCACATATTGTATAGTACCTTTTACTAGAGGTCGTGAGAGGTCTAGGCCCATGGCTTCTATTGTACAAGAAGTGTCGAGTCTCGCTGAACAAGGTGTTAAGGAAGTCACTTTACTAGGTAAGAGAAAATGTGTTATCATCAATCCAGGTACCATGATTAAAATATTCATTACTATCTTTGTAAATGGCATAATTCACTGTGTGGTTTAACCACATTGAAACATATCTTCTGTGTCATAATGAATAGACAGTCATCTTTTATAATCAAGTGGTATTGTATATTGGTGGCTTTTGAGTTGGGGTACTTCCAAGATTTGAAGTTCAGGTAGAGCAGCTTAAAGCACAGCATATGCTAACTGCAGTTAGCAGGCATGGACTGAGTTGCTTGTGAAACTGTCTCCTTTGACTGGGTTATCTTCATGACTTTCTCTAATATCATCAGATAAATATTGGGTTATTGTAATGTAGGCCATTTCCCTTACATTATTGGTAGGATGTTTATATGAGTATTTATTTCTGCATTCTCATATAAGATTGAAGGAGTGATTCCTTTTTAAATGATTATTATCCTTATAATGCTGTGGCCTTCATTATCATAGTTGTGTACTTTTGTAATCTGTTACTTATCAACATTTGGACACCAGCCTTGCTCTTGCAGTAAATGAACACAGAGTTTTAGAAGTGGATTCTGAGTAGCTGTCCAGTCTAAGGTAATAATTTGTCTTAAGAGACCAGAATGAATTCTGTACGTTCTGTCAGGTTGCTGAAAATACTGTGTTCCCTGATAATAAGAGATCTTCAGTAAACATGCTGATATCTTTGTTCTCATTCTTGTTGCTCTGAATTCTCCACTAATTAGGAAACTTAAGAGGAGGCATCTTCAGTTTAAGGCTGTGTTGTTACAGTGTACAGAATAAGCAAGCAGTTGATCATAAATAGTGATGATGGATGACATGAATTAGCATGCCTATAAAAGTAAATATATACCAGTGTTTATTAACAGCTGGTGCTATAAAGAAACTGAAAGAATGTATTTTTTTTAGGTCAGAATGTGAATAGTTACCGTGATTTGTCAGCAATGGATTATTATGGTGGTTTACCATCAGATAGAGAAACACACCTAGCAGAAGGATTTCATACAGTATATAAAAAGAAGAAAGGAGGTCTAAGATTTGTAGACCTTCTGGATAAAGTCTCTAGTATTGATCCTGAAATGAGGATACGTTTTACTTCTCCACATCCAAAGGATTTTCCTGATGAGGTAAACAAAAATTAAGTGCATGACATATAAGAACATTTTAACCTTCATAAATATTTGATCTAATTATATAAAGTAGGGTGAATTGGTGCTAATGAAAAAGACACAAATGTTAGGGATATGCAACACCTTCTGTTTCAGTTTTGAATTAAATTCAAACTTTCTCCTTGCCTTTGGAATTTTAGAAAATGCACTCTCATTATAGAATATGGGGCAAATGTAGATATTATTGCTGTGAGCAAACTGCAGAAAATTTTTGTAAATAAAATGGTCACAACTTCCCTACATCTGGGGTGAATCAGGGACAGTTGTATGTAGCGTATGGGGTGTGTTGTCCCTGTGGTGTGTTATTGACATGCAATAAGAGAAGTACTGGAATTTCATTAGTCCTTAGTTGTGTAATTAAGGCAGTTTTTCTTGATTATCAGCAATTTGTGTGATGAGTGTTGTGTTTGAATGCCACATGGAGTTGTTGTCTGTCCCATCTTCGACTGCATGGGGTATGGTGGCCGGAGCCAGATGGTCATTGATGTCCTGTCCAAATGTCGACTACATAGAAAAAGGTTGATCATCTGAATTCATGTTGATTGCCATTTGCCCTTCTTTTTGGTTTTTAAGTTCAGTTTTACATTTTATTATGTTCATGAACAGGTACGATGAACAGCATAGAGGATATCTCGGATCTGAATAGCGTCCTTAACTAAGTGGTCCACATGATCTGTTGTTCTTGCTAGTGCTATGGTGTCCTCAAAGTTTATTCAGTTCTCTCTACTGTCATGTGTGTTGCATATGTTCATTACATGACATTTCTGGCATGCAAATGCAAAACACTCATCACATCAGCCCCTAATGCTGAGACAGAGACGGTCTCTTAAATGGTGGACACCAGCTCTACATTGGCACAGCTGATCACCCAAGAATATTTCAGTGCATACTGTTGTTGTGAAAGCTTCAAATCACACATTTTTTTACAACATTCTCATTACCATTTATTCCATAATATTATTTTTATACACTTCATGTATGAAATAAAGGAAAATAATATTTGTTTCTCATTCATTTTTGATAATATTAAATTATTAATTTAATCATCTAAAATATTGCAGAAAGGAAGGAATGAGGATGTGGATTATGATGATGATGCAAAAACCTGGAGAATGAAAAATATATTATTCTGTTTATTATGCTTTTTGAATCTTAAATTGTGCCACACCAAGGGTGAGCAAATTATTAATATTTCTTTGCACTTATTATATCCAACTTACTAAATTAATACAGATTTGTACATAACATTTGAAAACAACTGAAGTTAGCCTGTGAAAGAGAAACATTTGATTTAACTTAACTCTTAACAATGTGTTTAATGGCTTAGGTTTTAGAGCTAATTCGAGATCGCAGTAACATCTGTTCCAGTCTACACATGCCAGCTCAAAGTGGAAACAGTGCAGTGTTGAAACGGATGAGGCGTGGCTACAGCAGGGAAGCTTATTTTGATCTGATTTGTCATGTGAGACAGCTGATTCCAAATATCAGTCTCTCAAGTGATTTCATCTGTGGCTTCTGTGGAGAAACTGATGAAGAATTTGAAGATACCCTTACACTTATGTCAGAAGTCAAGTACAATATGGCCTACCTCTTTCCTTACAGTATGCGTGAAGTGAGTTGTTTCACTAGTTGTAATGCTTACTAATGCAATATGAAGACAGATGTGGAAGTGCAGTATATTTTCAGTAAACAAATTTTGGGGATTGTATCCGGTGCACCCTGACTTAACCCTTTAACTTGATCACCTGTAAGGCCATAAGTGCCCAACACTCTCTCACAGGGATGGTCAAGCTACATTTCTATATGCAGCAAGGAAATAAGAAGAAAATAACCTCTCCAGATTAAAAGAAAATTAACCTAATTACAGTAGAATTTAATTTAAGGTTTTTCAGTTTAAGAAAGTTTTGCATTTTTGTTAATTTTTTGTTTTCCTGGCCAGAGCACCATATAAATAACAAACAATTAGTCCTGAATTAATATTTATCATGTTAATGTTTGGGGCCATACAGTAGCATAGTTGGTTGAGGCACTATGCTACAAGCTGGAAAGTTGTGGGTTCAAATCCTGATGAGATGGATTTTTTTTTTTCAGTTGACCTAACCCTTCCAGCTGCACTATGGCCCTGGGGTTGACTCAGCCTGTAACAGAAATGAGTACCAGGAATCTTTATGGAGGGTAAAGGGTGACCAGTGCGTAAGGCTAACAACCTTACCTCCAACTGTGAGCCGATCGTCTACATAATGTGGGACTCTCAACGTATCACAATCCTATGGCCTCCATGGCCTGTTACATGGATAGCCTTATCATGTTAATGTTTTACCCGCATTTAGTGAATGAAAACCCAGTTCCTGTATGAAATTCATGCCTCAGTTTATTATCATATTACTTTTATGGATGTATATGTTTATGGATGTTTTATATGTATATATACAGTTCAAAATAAATAGCAAGCCCAATCTGAATATAATACATACCAAGAAGCTTTAAGTTTTCTTTGGAAAAACTGCAGATATAGAGCCAAAACTGAGTTAATTCCAAAGAAAGGTAATTCCTGATACTCATAATTTTCTTTTCCTTGCTTTCTCCACCTCCTCATTCATGGATTAATTAAGTCTTTACCAGTCTTGCATTTCTGTCCATATTTTCCAGGGGTAATTGATGGATCTGTATCCACTTGACTAGTGGTGGTCTTTTGTCTGGCACTGCCATGATAAGTATCAAATTAAAATTCTCCTAAGAACTAGATAAGGCTGTCATTATTGCTACAAAATAAGATCAGCCAGAAGAAACAAAAATGTGATGTTAGGATAAGCCTAAAATCCATATAGGAGCACCCCTATTTTTGTTCCAGTTTGTCATATATGAACTCACCCTCTCCAAAGCAGAGTTTGATGTAGAGCAGTGGTTCTTATATGTTGTCAGACCATGGCCAGTAAATTCTTTTTTCTATAAGATGAGGGTCCAGTATAATTGATGCAAGAGCCTGGCCACTGAGAAACACTGATCTAGAATATATGGAAGTTGGTTTTGTTTTTGCTTACAGAAAACTACAGCTCACAGGCGTCTTACGGACGATGTACCACCTGAGATTAAACAGCAGAGGCTGGTTAAAATGATGTCATTATACCGAAGAGAAGCAGAGAAACTTAATCAAGCCCAAGTAGGTCAGCAGCATTTGGTGTTAGTGGAAGGGGTATGTAATTGTTAATGTTTATAATCTTGGTTTATTTAATGATGCTGTAAGTAGCTCAGACTGTATATTGTTGAATGGTTTGATGGAAAATGAATTGGAGAGGTTATGGAAGGCAGTGGTCATGGCCCAGTTTGAGACACTGTCCTGCATTCTTCTGGAGGGAAACAGAAAAATGACAAAGGAAAACCTCTGTCTTGCTGATCTCTGTGCCAAGACTTGAATCCAGGACTTCCCAGTTGTGAAGCAGGAGTGCTAACCAAATGACTGTGGTGTTTGGTAATTGGTAATAATTATGATACAACTCAAACTTCTTTATATTTTTCTGGTATAAGAATATGAGCTTCTCATATTGGTGGTTATAAACAGTTCAATCTCCTGGGATATACTTCTTTGTAGTCCATTGAAAGTTAACCAACCATTTTGGAGGAACTTCACCTCCATCTTCAGGATTCATGAGTAAGCCAAGCAAGAAACTAGCATGAAGAAGGAAGCAGAGCTTGCTTGATATATGACTCTGGAACTTAATTATTGTCTCTCACTGTTCTCCTAATGAATACCTCTGCTCTAGATGGGAGTGAGTAATCAGTTACAGGCCTCAGCTGTCCCCACACATGAAAAAGGAAGTCCCTTATACCTTTAAGATGTGAAGTTGGGTAAACAGAGTTATTCTCCACACAGTGTAGAGACAAGGACTTAACAATGTTGTCTGAGCTAATCAGTCACTTTACTAATCACTCATCGTTTGGCTTAATATGTTGAAAGTTTTTAGGTGTAATGTATTTTAAATACCAGTACTGAAGAATGTATGATGGTGATTATGAGCACCATGACATCAGTGCACAGCAATGCATCTGAGCCTTTCTGAGAGGACAGCACACCAAAATATTTCATTGTTTCCTTGACATGGCAAAGCACATGTTGTAGAGTTGTGCACATGTATGCATAAAATTCTTCATATTCTCCATTCATCATGTTTTTTATTAATATATATTTGTTGTAATATAAACAAATTATCAGATTAACATTTTAAGATCAATAATAAATGACAAGTAGAGAAAATATGTACAAAGATTAAAAGTGACTGTTCTGACAAACCACAACATGCAACAGATTTAAAGAAATTACAAAGAACTTTGAAGCAGCTTCATTTTAATGAAGAAATAAGAACATAGGCTGCTGAAATGATAACATATCTGAGAAAGATCCCTTTACTATTGTTGTCACAGTTTGATTAGTAATGGTTAATGTGTAGAGGATTGCAGTATATTATCCATGTCTTATGAAACTGAAGCTGCATATAGATATATAGTCATGAACAGATGAAGGTACTGTGCCTTAAACCCATGTGCCATGCCTGAAGATTGAGGTGCACTGGAACAAATAGAAAATAGTTATGTTGGCAGATTTCAATGCTGTAATCGGTTTTTGATGTTGTCCTCAGACCAGCTTATACAGCATACCATAACTTGCTTGATTTATCCACTAGAAAGGTATATATTGACCTTATGTGTAAGCACCATGCCATGAATTTGTAGAGGGGACATAGAAGTAAATGCATGCAGTTTAGAACTTGACATTGATGGGAGTTTCGTCCTGTGGCTGTTTTACTCTTTAGGGCAGAGCTCCTGGGTTTTATTGTGTAGGAGACTGAGTAGGTCTAGGACTGATTTGGGCATGACAGGAAGATGAGAAAACCCCATCTCTGCCAGAAACCAATTCCCAAGCTGTCCAGTCACTGTATGGACTGAGCTGTCTTGGCTTCTTTATATCACTGATTTTGTTGATTTTTCTTGTGCTTCATGTTTCTTAAGTCCAATTAGTTATCATAGTTCTTTGTTTTCTTACAGCCAAGTAAACGTTCAGTTAAAGATATGGCAGGTCGCAATGATGGTAACACCAAAGTGATATTTCCAGCAGTGGAAATTCCAGATTCACAGTACTCACAGACACTTCAAGCTATAAAGCCAGGGGATTATGTAGTGGTTCAGGCAAGTTCTTGTGCTTTATATTTTGATTTCAACATGATACTGTAACTTGTCACTTTCATCCTCTGCTCAGTAGGTCGTCATCTATGGTCTTTTGCTCTCTGTACACATGGGTGTTTGGGTGTAATTTCATTATTGCTAATCAACTTAATCACAATCATTAACTCCTTACTGTGGGGACTCTGTTATGTAGATATTCAGTGATGAAATGTTGCATGGGTTTCTAAATTCTGAAAATTAGATGAATGATACATAGTACACAGCTCGTAGGTATTGTGGAAGGGGCTCAAAAAGATTCCCAATCATCTATATTTAACTGAAGTTTTACTTTCAGATCATTTCAGCTACTTCACAGGTCTTGAAAGGAGTACCTCTATATCATTCATCACTTTCCAAGTTCAGTGTCCAAGAAAATGCATATACACTTACAACAGGTAAGTTTCTGATGTGGAAACTGAAATACACAAAGGTATGCTTCATCAAATTTCTGAAAACAGACCGCTGTACCACAACGATATATAATATGTAAAAATACTTATGCAAATTGTGTAACATTTATATAATTTTTGTTGTTGTTTATCTGGGTAATATGGAAATATTGATGGAAAAGTACATTTGTGACATTATCAGTACTAGAGTTGATCAGTTTGAAGGGAACTTTAAATGATGTTCTTGCATTGTATTTGCTTTCAAGTTGAGATTTACTGTTGCATTGAAGTTACATATTTTAGTGTGGTTTGTTTTCCAGGTCTGAAGTCTTATCTTTACTGAGAAACAGGTGAAGATCTGTTACTGCTTGGCACTGCATCTCTGCCAGTACACAGAGAAATCAGAGACTACCATTTACCATTGATATTTGAGTTCCACTGGGTGGTGTGAAACACTATATTTTAATGTGAACAAAATACATAAATATATGTAAAGACAGGAGAGTCAGATCTGAGGGAAATAATATGTATAAACAAAGAATTGAAAAATATATGTTCTTTTTGCAAATACATTGTTGTAACTTGTGGTGAGTTCTGTGACTGTTCTTTCTCTGTGTTACATGTCTGACAGTTTATAAATATTTAGTTAGTATATAAAATTTCTCTTATGCTTTTACAGATACCCAAATAGGTCTCAAAATACATGATGATAATTATATGTGATGGCAGTATGAAATATGTATGTTTACAGAAATGCTTTTTAAAATTTATCGTCTTGTTTGCAGTTCTGTTGACTGTCTACATTATTATAATATTCACAGTGTATATTGGTGACTGATGCTTGATCAATCCAGAAACAGTTCCTTTCAGTGTCATCGGTATACAATTTCTTTATGATATTAACCATACTAATTTTGTAAGTGCACCACTAAAACAGTTTACTCTTAAAGATTTCTTTGGGTCAACGGTTCACAGTATAGTGACAATTATTTTATATTCTTTGTCTTCTTACCTATGATCATTCTATACAGAATACCTGTTTAGGTTCATTAAAATTATTTACACTATTAGCACACAGTGAATTATATAACTCAAGTTTATACATCACATAAATTATGTATGAAAATAATGTGTTTTTTACATTATCATGTCAGTAATTTATACATTTTTTTATCACATTTAAGACCATAAATTCAAGGGCATTTGTACTGGAGAGAGGTCCTCATACTTAGAAAAGCATATTGCTGCCTGGTCAGATCAGTTTCATTTTGTTCACAGTTAAATGTCTGTTAGATGAAATTATGACCTCTTCACTCAAAAAGTAGTAAATAGCCACTGCTTGGTGTTCATTATACTAGCAGAAGAAAAATATATGAAATTACTCCTTTTTACTTCTACAAATGTTGCTTTTGGAATAAGGTTAGAGTCACTCAGTTGGTCATAAAACCCAGTCATTCATTACCATGTTCCTAGAAGCCTGCAACAGGTTCACACCCACATATTTTGCTTCACTAAGATCAATTTTAATAGCACAAAAAGTGGGTATGGCTTTCATTGGAACTGATAAGTTTCAAAAGCATACATTTGAAAAATCATTCCATAAAACAAGGGATTTCCTAGCACCTTTGTCATAATGAGTAATTGCTCTTTTCTTGCAACTGTTTGCACCAACTGTGCTTTCAGTTTTGCTTCAAGGTTATTTATGGCTAGGAGTTTATAATGGTCCCAATAACGTACCCTTTCTGATCTTCCTTTGTCTAGGAATAAAGTTCACATTTGAGAATCTATTATAACAGAGCAGCTTATTCTCTCCAAGTTTTAACCACTGAGAAATATACATCGTGATGTCCAAAGAATTTCCCCGTAGTCATATAGCTTGTTAAATTATGTCTGAGGTGTTATCAGAAAGTTCCCAGACTAGGTCAAAAAAGAAAAGGCTGGCTTAACTTAATTTTGGCTTCCATCTCCTTCAAAATAGTCTCCTTGGGACTGTATACAACAATCCCATTGTATTTTCCACTCTTGAAAAGCACTGTGGAAGTCATTTTCCTTAATGCTGTCGAGTACCACTTGTGGTTCCCTTTGGATGTCAGACACGGTTTCAAAACATCATCCCTTCAGCTTTATTTTCATTGAGAAACAAAGTGAAATTACAAGGGGCCAAGTCCAGGAAGTAGGGAAGATGGGGAATGATAACCATGTTGTTGTTAGTCACAAACTCTGGTTTTCAGGGACATGTGGGTGCACACGTTGTGATGAAGGAGCCACTTGTGACTGTATCAAAGTTATGGTCTTTCTTGGTCTTAAATGTCACAGTAAAAGTCACGAGTTGACCGTATTGTTTGGAGGAACAAATTCATGGTGAACAGTCCCCTTCTCATGGGGAAAACAATAAGCATGCTCTTTGTTGAACTCTGAACCTGCTGTGCCTTTTTTGCCCTTGGTGATTGTTGTCTCTTCCACTGCTACAATTGTTACTTTGTGTTTGGATTGTAACCATAAATCCAACTTTTGTCACCCGTTATGATCCTAGAGATGATAGTTGGGTCCTTGTTAGCCTTCCCTCATAGCTCAAGACACACATTTATGTGCCACTGCTTATGATAATTTGTCAAGAGTTGGGGGACAAACTTTCACAGCAATGTGGCATATGTTCAGATTTTCTGTTAAGATCTCCTGGCAAACTCCATAACTGATCCCAGTGTTGTCTGCAAGGGCGTGGATTGTTTGGTGATGGTCTTTGTGGATGAGTTCTCAAATTTTTTCGACATTTTCTATCATTTCGCTGGTGCTTGGTTGTCCTGAATGTTCATCATCTTCAACTGACACTTCACCAGCCTTGAAACATGAATGCCATTGAAAAACTGCTGTCTGGCTTAAAGAATGTTCTCCAAGTCTCAAGAAGCATTTCAGGGGTTTTGGAAGTTGATTTACCGAACTTCACGTAATACTTGATGCAGACATGTTGCTCGATTTTGCCATCCATTGCAGACAAACAAATCATGAAGTCAGAAAAGCACTCATGTCAAAACAGTGCATGTTCACATCATGGTGCCACATGGCAGACTTATGCAGTAGGCTTGCAAAAGTGGGACCTTGGCCTCCCCTCTCATCATCTTCACCAAGACAGTTACAACAATAACAGTCTGAGAACTTTCTGATAGCACCTCATGTTGTGCCACAGTTAAACCCTATTTATGAAAGCACTGTGCAGTATCTATGCTCCTTGTCACAAATATTTCACTTCCTGATAGGTCATTCTCCTGGGTTTGATGATGATGTCACAGAATACAACTAGAATTATAGTAGATTTGGTTATTTAATTATGCTGTCAATAGTGAGACTGTATAGTACAAGATAAATAGGATGATTGATACTGGGAGGAATTTGGAAGAAATTGGTTGCAGCCTTTCATGCGTATTCTGCATGCATTCACTTAGTTGGAATTTCACAGAATGCATGGTCAAATTAACATACATTTAATTTCAAACATGCATAACAAAGAAGACTGAAAATGAGAGTCATGTGGTAATCATATTACCTCCTGTAGTTTTGAAGTAAATATTGCCTGAATTATTTTAGGCAAAAACTACTTTTTTAAGGCTAGTAAGGTAGGCTAAGGTAGGATAATACCTATGCTGCTGAGAACTCAGGGCATGAAGTATGGAGGACTAATTGGCTGCACCATAGCTCAAGCAGTTAGTCGCTGGCTTTCCACCGTGGCGGCCCAGGTTCAATCCCGAGTCTGGTCAAGTGGGATTTGTGGTGGACAAAGTGGCGCTGAGGGAGGTTTTCTCCGAGCACTTTGGTTTCCCCTGCCAATCTTCATTCGACCAATTGCTCCACAATCACCCTTACCTATCATCTGGGGCTGGTACAATAGGCCAGAAGTGGCCGCAGTACAAGGGACTTAGTCCCACCCCACTAGCAATAAAAAAGAATGGAGGACTAATTATTTCACTATTTAGAAGTATGTTTTCTTGGATTCTTCATTTTAAGAGCCTCCTATTTTTTTGCTGATTTCTTGTTTGGCTTACTGTTCTACCCTGAAGATGGAGTCAGCACATTCCTCTGAAAGATGCTGAATTACTGAATGATATGTGCAATGTTTGTTTACTCATTCATCTCACCAGTATTTACTTTTTAATTAAAAAATTAATTACAATATTTGAGGGCATGATAAAAATCAATTTATTTGTTATTTTCAATAAAAGAAGTAAGAACAAGATTAAGGGAAACTTATGCTGTATATTCCAGTGAAAAGTGAATGACACATGGTAACCAAATGAAAGTCTGTTCCTAGTGTCCCTGAGCATTGGTGTAAGACAAACTTATGGGAAATGTTCTTAATATGAACTTGAACATCATCTGGAGGGGGGGATGAGGGAGAATAGGTCACAATGAATTCAGGAAATTTCATTATTTACTAATTTTTATAGATTCCAGATGCTGTTTCTGTTCTGGTATATGAAAATTTTGGTTTCTCAGTATGATTTTTATACTGAAAATTAATCCACTCTTAGAATGAGGCATGTAGTTTTAAAATAATAACAAAACTACAGTAAATATTAATTATTGTAACCATATTACACGCCATTATTATACATAAGATTTATGGATATACTGAAGTACATGCAGTAGAAATGTAAATCATCTCAGTCTAAGAAAGAAATGGCAGTGATAAATACTTTACCAGGAAATGTAGCAATTCAAGAAAGTCAGGTTAAATACCCTCCTTCTCTATTCTTCACAGAGGTCACACATTACTTTTACCCATACTGGAAAGTAATTGTGATGTTACATATCTGTAATCTGTAATGGTCTCCATAATACAGATCATTTTCCAGAATACAACATATCCAACGCTATACCCTTTGACTTATAATTTACTTTACCATTGTCACATCCTTTCATTTTTACATTTCATTTTTAGTGTTTTTTTTTTGTCAAAGTCCATGCCCATAAGTAGAAAAAGACATGAAATGCCATAGTACTCATATTCCTTCATGAATAATTTATTTATATATTCTGACATGGTATCTACATCAGCACGTATTGAAACTTAGGTTAACACAGGGGAAAAACTGTTGTCTAGGCAGGACTAGAATCTGCTTATACTGAAGATGAACCATTTCAGTTACCAGATGAGACTCTTGTCACTTGTGTGTGTGTTAACCATGAATGGTGTATGGGATAATTTTAATTCACTGAACACAGCAGCAGCATATTATACAAAGTAATAACAAACTGGCATCTTTTTTTTTTTTTAAGTTTAAGGTCTTTCATTCTGGTCCGTCACACTAACCAATTAACAATCAAGTTCCTTCCGTCAAATGTGACACTTTTTTAAGTTTTCCACCTCGTCACCACCTGCCTTACATGTTTCGGCTCACCACGGAGCCATCATCAGAGGCATTTATAGTAGAAAAAGAAATCACCAACACACAAAACTTCACTTTGTCCAAGATAGCCACGTTCCAGTTAATTAAAATAATTACAAATAGTTAAAATTACCCAGAGTGTCGGTTCACTAAAAGTTTTTCACACACCACAGTAGCTTTCTTATTTGATTCGTCGTTAATTCTGTAAAATTATGTTTCGTTATTTGAAGTAAGAATTCTTAAAATCCCTAGAATTCTTTCCCGCTTGGCCCAATCTTTTTGCTTCGGGATGTTGTTGACGTGCGTTGTCTGTCAGTAGTTGATGTTGCTTGTCTGTGTGTTGTGATGCTTGTGTGCTGGTGTGTGTGTGTTGGTGATTTCTTTTTCTACTATAAATGCCTCTGATGATGGCTCCGTGGTGAGCCGAAACATGTAAGGCAGGTGGTGACGAGGTGGAAAACTTAAAAAAGTGTCACATTTGACGGAAGGAACTTGATTGTTAAACTGGCATCTGTTATACACATAGAAGTGAGTAAGTCATTAACCAGTTAAGTGATTATGGTGTCATGTAGTACTGTTTATTGTAGTGGATATGATGTCTGTACATGGTATGCATGATTCCAACTACTTGTAGATATAATGACAGTTGTCAGTGTGATCTTCTAGTTACTTCAGAGTGTGACAGGAAGGTGCTGATTGCTTCAAGTTTTTTGAGTAAACATTATTGCAGCTCTGATGAAGAAGAAAATGTCAGTTGCAACATGGCATATGGGTGAAGTCAAGTGCTCAGCAACCACATTCTCCATTTACTGGGAAGCTGGCATAAATGTTGATTTGGAGGACCCCAGTAACCCCCTGGACTATTTTGAGTTGTTTTGTACACCAGAAATTGTGGAAGTAATAGCCAGAGAAACAGTATGTGAGAACACGCATAATCTAAAACTAAGATCTAGGGCCCATCACTGGAAGGAGGCAAACTGAAATGGAATAATGAAGTTGGTAGCACTCTTTCTGTTACAAGGACTTCACCAGAAACCGGATAACATGAGCTGTTTTTCCTGGAAGAAAATTCTGGGAACACCCATATATTCAGTGAGAGGTGGTTTCACCTTCCACTCAAGTTTCTTCATTTTGTTACCAGCGAAAGTTACGATGAGGCCACTTGGCGGTTCCAAAAGATTGTATAAACTTAAACCCATACTGATGCTTACTTGACAAGCTATCACAGCACAAGGAAAAGGCTAAGATGTTATCAAAAGCACTTCCATCATTTGATTGATATTGGTTGTTTGAATTCATATTTACTTCACTAAAAAAAGCAGTGGCATTTCCAGAATGGAATTTCAAAGTGAAACTTATAGAAAATTTAATTTAAAAATATCATGTGACTGAAGAGAGACCATTAAACATACCACCAAAAACTGCCCCACCAACAAGGATGAATGCACCCCCTTATCCATCCTTCATTGCTGCCACAATGTTAAGGAAAAATCGATGTTGGTTCTGTGTTATGTGCTACAGAAAGGGTCAGCATTGTGAAACAAGGTACAACTGTGAAAAGTGTGGAGTGGCCCTGTGTTCTGCACCCAGTTTCCAATGTTACCATATGGTGAGTGACTAGAGGTGTGAAAGGAGATCAGGGTTCAACAAGTGGCTAAGAAGTGTCAGAATGCAAGATTTTAGTTGTTAATAAGTGTATTCAAGCTGGTGTTGAAAACTATACCATAATTATAAAGACCTTCACAGTATGTGACACTGGAGTTGCAAAATCACGGTTTTGCAGTCGATGTTTCGAAGAATAAATAGCTTTTGCTGTGCAAATCCACAGTAGGCTTGAACTTGCAAAGGAAGTGCAAATATAGCCCACATGGCAATAAGAAACATCTTTTTATCAGTGAGGCAGCCAGAGCTGTAGTAGGTCACAGTGTAGTAGTAGTAGTAGTAGTAGTAGTAGGTAGTAGGTTTCTAAACACCAGACACCATTCAGGACAGCATACAGTAAATGTGCATGAATCAGACGTAACTTTGTCATCACATACTGGGAACTGAAATGCATATCAGTTTCGACAGTGTCGTACTTTTTGAGAATAAAACCAAAAGTATGGAATTTTACAAAAAAAAAACAGATGTATATAAACATTAATATAACAGCTGTATAAATGAAAATATAGGTATATGAACTCTGATAATTGGTCTTTCAGAGACTTTTGTTTCATAATTTTATAATGAAACATGGTTGAGATATTGAATTTTAAAAAGGAAGCAACAGTTACAAAATTAAATGCTGCAGTAAAAAATGTAAATGTGCAGGGAATTTTAATGTTCTACTGTGGGAGAAATAAGAACATGTAATATATACACTTAACTGGTTAATGAATACTTTTGATACTATGTAATACAAAAGAAAACTTCTTAAAAAGCAGAGAAACTAAACAATGGATGCTTATAATGTAGGCTCCTATGGGAGAGACATGGCTCTTGAAATGTATAGTATGAAAGATGTGTGACAAACAAAGAATCCCTCTTATATGATTTAAAAAGTCTGTGAACATGCATTTTAATATGATGTTTGTGGTAGTGAATACAGTAAAACTCCCATGCAAGATTGTATGGGGCAGTGAATTTAACACTAAACTGAGGAAAATCATAAATGGAGAAAATTTAACACTGACATTATTGATTTGACTTGAAATTGGGGTAAACTTTAAATCAAGGGACATTAAATGGGGATTTCACTGTATTAAGATTGCAGTCTTCTGGGATATGATGCTGTGTAGTTTGGTAGATAGGCACCTGTATACCACTTAACATGGCATCACATTGCAGATGACAACAGTTATCATATATTTACTGTTCTAATAATTATAAATTCAAAATATAGCCATTGTCAGTTTGTTGGTAGGTTCTTAGATTTTCAGTATTTATCTGCATATTTTCAGACAAGACTTGCTGCTACAATGTTGGTCCCACCAGCTTCTTCTCGTCTCTCATGATACCTGTTTTGTGAAGGTGCACTGCTGTTAGGTTGAGCTTGTTTGCACATGTTTGGTAATTTATTTGAGGTGAACATACTTTGTGTGGGGAGGATACCTTCAACATCCAGCTGACCTGCAAAATTAAAACAATATGTCTTGGGTACTGGTTTAGTATGACATTTATTTAAGCATTAGCACAAAGCCAGTTAAAATTAAAGTGGGATGACTGCAGTAAATTCCATCTGTGAACATCTTGATTCAAAAGACTGTGTGTAAGCTGTTAAAGAGTGTCACTTTGCCAGTGCATCATGTTTTGAATCAGTGTGAAGGAGGGAAGAGAAATCCCTCCATCCCAGTCCCTCTGTCATGATTTATTTATTGGCATGTGTTTGTTTTACCTGATAGAGATGGTGAAGGCCCCTTTGAGCTGCCATAGAGTTTGGTACTATAGCCAGAATCGTTGTGCAGATCAGCTGGCTCATGGGTGGGACTGTATACAGCACTGCGGCTGCGGTATGGGAGGCCAGACATTAAGTTGCTTTCTTCAACCTGCCATGGACATGATTCTGCTACATTCTCATAGTCAGGATTTCCTGCTTCTGGAATTCTTAATATGCCCCCTTCATCACCATCTTCTCCTTCACTTGATTCTGAACTGCAGTTATCATCATGGCAGCGGTAATTATTTGTGTGGTGTACCAGCAGTGAATCTCCGTGCCATGACAGGTTCCCTCTGTAGAGTTTCTGACTCTCCCAGGCATGGTCTCTTCTACCCTCAAACCTAGGTAATTGCTGTGACTCCTTATGTTTCACTTCAGGGAACTTTTGAGTTTCAGTGGCAGCAGGTTTTGATTTACTCTGGGTCTTCCAATTTGGAACTACTTGGCTAGTTTGCTGAGCACTTTGAAATCTTGCAACCATCTCATGAACTGATCTGCGAAGTGGCTGTTCTCTCCAGTCAGGTGACATATTTTCTGCTTGTGTATCGCTGTTCCTTTCCTCCTCTGTTTCTTTGTTCTCTTTTTGGATCTTATCTCTCCAACAAGAGGATGTATGACTAATGGCACCATCTTCCTTCCTAGCTTTGTGTATCTCACTATTTCTATGCTGTGACTGATTTGCCCAGGATGTGACTCCTTTATCCACAAGCACATCAAAACTATGGTTATAGTCTTGTTGTGATTGGCACATTCCTTGTCCATTGCCACCATCATGTGATCTTTGGTGTTGAGATGCAGGTAACTCGTTAACAGATCTGTAGTGATGTTGGTCTCTCCATGAATTTGACCTGTGGTCTAAGAGTGTATCAAAGCTTCGATTGTGCTTATCTCGAATATTAGGACTGCCTGGACTATTTGTACTTTCATTATTTGTATGAGATGCTGGGAATTCATGTGCCGACCTGCGATGAGGTTGACCTCTCCAGGAAGCTACATCTTTGTCTAATAGGGTCTCAAAACTTTTATTATGCTCTTGTTTAGATTTAAGGAGCCTCTCACTTTTTTGACGATCTTGTTTCAATCTGCATGCGAGTTCATGAGCATAAGTGTGATGTGGCTGATGCTGTGGTGTGGTAGTTTCATGCAAATTTGCTCTTTGATATGCCTGTGAATTTTTTTCCCTGCAAGAGAACTCTTGAGAAGAATTGCAGTAAAGTCTTCTCCAGCTAGCAATACCATCATCATCAGCTAGCATCTCTAAACTTCGGTGATCTTGATGATTACGTAGACCCTTATTAACTCCTGTAGCATTCACATTGGATATGATATCTTGCTGCTTATCCTGCCATTCTGCCTGATGATCCAGCAAGTGTTCCAAGCTCCGTGCTCGAGGTACAGGTATAGGTCCGATTGAATCTATAGGCTCTGTTCCACGCACTCGTTCAGAGCTGCGTCCTGCTGCTCCCCTCTTTATCCACTGTGCCAGATGTAAGTGGCGTTGGTCACACAGTGCACGTTCTGTTACAACACATCGAGTCAGTTCCGAAAGTTGTCCCTGTGTACGGCGTTCCAGGTTTGATACCTTCTGATCCAGTCTTTGGTGAGCTTGGTCAATATGTTCCTTTAATTCCTGTTTGTCTCTGTCTAGTCGGGCTTCCATATGACGGAAGAAAGGGGCACAGTAACATGTGTAGCCCACACCAACAGGGCCCTGAAACATTGAGCCATACAAGCATTAGTTACTGAAGCATGGCTTAGGTGTTCAGTAAAATTTTTTACAGTAATTTTTTCTAAAAGATGTCTACATTTATTAACTTATTACATTTCCAATTCATGATTATCTGAAACAAAAGTATGGTTTGTCCACTGTGCTTGTTAATTTGCTTCAGAATAAGCCAGTAGGAAGGAGTGAGGGTATATAAGAGGAGGTCTGAGTTCAATGGATTAAATGTTTATGCAGTAGTACTGAGGGTGTTAAGTGTTAGACTGTAAGAGAGGTACACAATATTGTGGAAATCTTTTTATAAAACCCATTCAACACTGAACCACAAAGTAAAAAGAATATTTATGATGCAGTACTTGGATGTTTCTCATGAGCAGAAGAATCAATGATTGAAGCTCAGTATCTTGTATTTAAAAACTAAACTGAATAAATGATATAAACTCCATCTCAAGTGCAAACAATATATTTTGTGTCTTTGATCTTGCTCCCTACACTACATGTTTCGGCCTCAGACGGCCATCATCAGGTGTATAACACTCACGTCACTGTCACACTGCACCTAGTTCAAAATTTAACATCTAAAACACTCTCCCTGTCATTATCAACTTCTACTTCGTTGATAGCTGTCCACCCGTATATTACTTCACACACGTTAATTTTGACTTTATTGTAATAGCACCATAATAAAATCTTTAGTTCTAATTTTAAACCTTTAAATTCTTGTCCAGATTTTAAATTTTAAAATTGTTAGGGTTATTCGCCCTGTGTTTGAAGTGCTGCAGCGGCTTGTTCTTGTTTCCACACTGTATAGGTGTTATTCTGTGTAGTCTTTCTGTATGCGTGCCGCTGCTATTCTTTACTACGTGTGCGGCACGCACGCAGAAAGACTACACAGGATAACACCTATACAGTGTGGAAACAAGAACAAGCCGCTGCAGCACTTCAAACACAGGGCGAATAACCCTAACAATTTTAAAATTTAAAATCTGGACAAGAATTTAAAGGTTTAAAATTAGAACTAAAGATTTTATTATGGTGCTATTACAATAAACTCAAAATTAACGTGTGTGAAGTAATCTACGGGTGGACAGCTATCAACGAAGTAGAAGTTGATAATGACAGGGAGAGTGTTTTAGATGTTAAATTTTGAACTAGGTGCAGTGTGACAGCGACGTGAGTGTTATACACCTGATGATGGCCGTCTGAGGCCGAAACATGTAGTGTAGGGAGCAAGATCAAAGACACAAAATATATTGTTTGCACTTGAGACGGAGTTTATATCATTTATCGTATGGAGTGCAACAGGATGCTTAAATATAATATACTAAACTGAAGTCACGAGTACTTGGGAATGACAGTTATGGGTAAATATGGTTATGGTGGATGTATGGATCATTGGTTATTTAGCAGTGCTCTGTCAGCTACAGTGGTTGTTTAGCACAGAATGATGTGCAGCATGAACATTTTCACTGAACTTGAAAAAGATGAGAAGGATGGCCCAGCATTTGCCTTTAGAGACTGAGGAAAAGCATGAAATATCTCAGTCAGGATAGCGAGCTACTGATGTCCCAACCAAGCCTGTCATATACAATGGCCAAACTGTCCATTAGAATATTAAAACACATCAGACACCAGACTATAGAAATGTAAATTAACCCTCTGTCCATTTCTGCCCTTTATTGTATTTTTTCAATATATACCATGTTGAACACATTTTACTGCAGTTACAGCACATTCAACATGGTTCGTTGTCTATAGATATTAAAAAAAATAAATTCTGAAAATTACTGTTTTCAAGAGTAGCTCTGTCACACTCTCCAAATGAAATAAGGATGTGGAGAGAGTGATCCTCACTCTGCAGGACCAGTTAGATAAAGCTGAAACATGTAGTGCAAGAGAGAAGAGTAAGGTGAATAAATGTATGCACTGTAAGACGGTTAGAATAAATCATAGATAAAGCTGCTTTTCATCAACCTTCTTTGTTTTACCTAAAAATGGAAGAGATGGTGTCTCTGAAACTTATTAATTTTTGGAATTTTAAGTTTTGAAAGATACGTGCTAAACCACTAGTCCTGAAGTAACTCTGACTGACTCTGACAGTTCAGTTAGTGCAGTGCAGTGCAGTGCAGTGCAGTGCAGTGGAACAAGTTGGTTGGTCAGTGAGTGAGTGAGAGAGAGGTTCAGTCCTTGTGAGCTGTTGCTCTCAGAAGCTGGTACTTGATCCATGGGGATAGTTCAGGAACCCAGAGGCAGGAGAACGTTTGCTGTTGGGACACGAGAGAGAGAGAGAGATGGTGAATTGTAAAGCGTAGTCACCACTGTATCAAAATGTGCAATAAATCCAAACCCCATCTACAGTAACTCATACAATATAATATTCTGCCATGTGTGCATATTAGAAGGGGAAGGAAGGGCATAAAAAGAAGAATTAGTGAAATTCTGTGCCTTAACCAATGTAATGCTTACATTGTTAGGCCCCTTAAAACATTATAGATATGAAGGTAGGGAAAATACTTGTATGTTAGTTTATTTTGCTGGGGTGTAAATGAACATACCTTGCAGATGTTGCCAGCCAGATCCAGATAATACTGTTCCCCTTTTTTGAGAGGCTCATGTGGCAATGAGTCCAGATTTGGCTGTGGGAATGCTTTGGGGTCTGGATAGTAATGACAGCCATATGGGGACCACTGTTTGCCAGTTGGCTTCTCAAAGTGCACCTTATGAGTGTTCTTGTGCTGAAAATGAACAGTACTCTTTATTTATTATTTTCAGTTCACTGGTAGTTCAATTTTGATACTGAATGTAATTGGTATTTGTTCTATACCAGCGATTTATATTCATTTACTGGATTGAAGAAACTGAGAAACTTGGCCTTTATATTGATATTAAACCAGTATTATTGGAGAAAATTTCATAGTTTCAGAAGCTAAATGGGGGAAGTTTATAGAAAGGATGGTAGGTACAGGGAATATGTACATACACATTCTATGAACAGATTTCACAAGTATTTCATGTATAGTAAGGAATGTAGGCTGAAAACAGAAAGAATATTACTGAAAATAAATATAGGGCTAAAATATATAAATGATAACATTTATGAAACTGTGTTTAAATTTTCACTTGGTGTACCTACTGTAATCTGATAATGGTTCAAGCACAGTAAACACTCAGCTCACCTTCTTCTTGTCTTTCTGCCTGCTACTACTGTCCTTGCTGCTTGTTCCGCTCTCATTCTTGCCCCGTTTCTTCTCATTACGATCCTTTTCCTGGCCAGTCTTTCCTGATTTGCTCTTGGGTCGAGTCGCAGATGGGCTGTTCAGAATGACCAGTATTTCGTTCAAGTCTTTCCGCGTTGCAATGTCCCGTGCAGTCTCACTTTGCTGCAGAGTAAGTTCAGTGCACAATTGAGCAGAATACATTTGGCAAAGGCACATGATGATTATCCTCACAGTCTACACATTTTACCTAATGTTCTTAGTTTGATTAAATTAAGGAAGTTAAGATTGGTGGTATATATGACATGCAGAGGAGGAATGACAAATGCTTATAAAATTCAAGAGAATGGGGTCATTATAATGTTGTGATGCAGGTGGGAGGATAGATTTGGGGTAGATCTTGTTAATATGTCAGAATGAGAAGTTGTGTTATAGCCTTGATGGCCTATAAATATATGCATATCTTGACTTTATTAAGTGTCTTGGGTCTTTGTAAGCTGTAGAATTTTATATAATACAGATTTATCCTTAGCAAAAGAATTTGGCTGGAGCCTTGCCACTTTTGAAAGAATGGCTGTAACTTGACATAGTAATGTGGATTTGTAGATCATTTTATAAAGTGTGAAATGTACGGTGGACTCAAGAGGGTCACAGTTTAAGTGGGGTAGCTGCTTATTTTGAGGAAATCATGGAAAGCAAAACAACTTGGCAATAAAACTAGAATTTGCTTCGCTTATTTGGGACACTGTGCAAGTTAATTGGGCCAGTAGCTGCCAGATGGTGCACTTGTGATTACTATGTCATCAGAGAGACACTGACCCTGTCTGTATAAATGAACATCTCACTAGAACTGCCGTCAGTCTGTCAGTGACTGTGTTTCTGAGTCTAGCATAGCATGTGCAGTGAATTTTACATTTAAAATTTTAGATCCCTTCAGAAATTCCTAGGAGAGATGTAACAAATGCTGATAAAATTGTCTTACTTGAAAAAATTAAAAAACAACTGCCTAACTCCAGTCATTATCAACTGAAGTGCCAAAATCTACAATTACATCTATTCTACAGCAGCAAGACAAACTGGGAGATGGATGGAAATTATGCCACAGATGAAAAGAAACTTCCCAAAAATGGAAACATGAAAGTAATGATTCAGTTGTTGAAAAGGTTCTTAATCAGTGGTTCTCTATTTTTACTGGACAAGGTGTATGTGTCAGTGGTTCAACGTTGGAAAGCTAGTCAGAGGAGTTAGCTAAAATGCTGGGTCAAAGCAACAGATGGTTGGTTGTCTGAATGGAGATGCAGGTTTGGGATAGAATTCAAGAAGGTAAATGGTGAGGACAGTGCTGATGCTGTAAGTGTTGAACAATGGACATGCACAAGGCTGCAAAACTTGCTTCAGAAATTTTGTGCAGATGATATCTACATTGCCAATGAAGCAGATTTATTTTAATTGTGCCATGCTGAACATTTCCCTGAGCTAGAAACATGCAACTTTATCTGATTCACAGAAAGGAATGGATTGTGTAACTGTGTTGTGCTGTTCATATATATATCATTAACTGACAAGCAGCAGGTGTTGGTTACCAGGAAAAGGGTTAAGCCTTGGAGCTTTAAGGGGATTAGTATGGAGAGTTTACCAGTTTTGTACTATACTAACAAAAATGTGTGGATGACATCTAAAATTTTTAAGAAAGGGCTAACAAGTTGGGATGTGGAATTACAACAGAAATCAACAAAAGTTTTAGTGGTTATTGACAGCTGTGCAGCACACTCTCATTTAGATCATGTAAAAAAATATCAACTAGAATTTCTGTATCCAAACACCACATTTCTGCTACAGCCAATGGACATGGGGATCAATACAAATTTGAAGACCTTATATTGCACAAAGTTGGTAAACTACATCCTTGCAAGAAAATCTACGATATCATCTTTGGCAGTTAAAATGGTCAATGCAAAGCTTCATTCTTTACAAGCAGTACAGTTCAGTGCTGATATGTGACAAAGAGTGGGAACCAAGACCATTCAGATCTGCTTTGCTTTCTGTGGTTTTAGACACTTATACTTCGAGATGCCGAGTAAGGCCACTAGTGAAAATTATGTCATATTGGAAATGCACCATGTTGGAAATTATGAAAAGTTCTCATGCCTAGACAAGAGTCATCAATGTTATAATGAAAATGAAGATTGTGAGGAAGCAATTGTTGAAAAAATTGCAGTGAACACGAGAAGACATCAGATCAGGAAACTGATGAGGATGACATGACTGAGTGTGAATGAGCGACTGATTAGGATGCTAAGAAATTTATTGCTGGAATATGACTTTATTTCATGCATGAGGACAATTAAGGCAGCCTTATATCTGCACTAGAAACCTGCACTGCTTTCATTCAGTTGCAGTCAAGAGAACATGGCAGGGTACACTTGATCAATTGATTAATTCCTCCAATATCACTCACTGTTAAGAAGCATATGCACATTTGATACTTAAATTAATCAAATTTGTTTTTATGGTAAATATTTTTTCTGTGATTTGCACTCATCTTTACTGTGTGCATCCTGTTGTATGTTGTCATATATGGTATTTTTAATGTATCAGTCAATGCAACAATTCTATAATAACTCAGTACTACTATATTAGTATTTGTTTATTGTGTGGAAGTGCTGCTACATGTTTCAACATACGAGGGGGGACCCAAAAATAACCGGAATTTATTTTTGTTATTTTTTATTTTTGCATTTTTATTGAACTGTATATTAGTCCCCTTCAAAGTATTGTCCATGTGCATTAATGCACTTGTCCCAACGCTTTTGCCACTGCTCAAAACAGTGCTGGAATTCTTGAGGCTGGATACTGTTCAAAGCCTTTAGCGTGTTTTCTTTGACTTCATCCACATCACGGAATCGCTTTCCTTTCAGACTTCTCTTCATCTGTGGAAACAAAAAAAGTCTGACGGAGCCAGGTCGGGTGAGGAAGGTGGACGAGGCACAATCACCATGTTGTTGCTTGTCAAAAACTGTCGGACCGTCAAAGCTGTGTCTGGAGCATTGTCGTGGTGAAGCAACCAGCCCATTTCTCCACATTTCGGACCGTTTTCGTCACACACTCTCTCGTAATCTTCGTAACACATCCAGGTAAAAATGTTGGTTCACTGTTTGTCCTGGCGGAATGAACTCTTTGTGGACAATGCCATTTACATCAAAAAAACAAATAAACATTGTTTTCACATTGGATCGCACTTGACGCGCTTTCTTCGGTCGTGGTGAAGTTGGCGTTTTCCACTGGCTTGATGATTGCTTTGATTCTGGATTGTACCCGTAGCACCAAGACTCATCGCCAGTCACAATTCTTTTAAGAAATTCTGGATCGTTCTGCACTTCACTGTTCAAGTCGCGGCAAACATTCACGCAGTTTTCTCTTTGGTCATCTCCGAGCAAGCGAGGAACAAATTTTGCAGACACCCGTCTCATGTGCAAACCTTCGGTTAAAATTCGCTGGACCGTGCTCCATGAGATGTTCGTTTCCTCAGAAAGTTGGTCAATGGTCTTTCGACGATCTTCATCAATTGCACGTTTGATTTTGGCAATGTTTTCGTCATTTCTTCCTGTCGAAGGACGCCCGGGGCGTGGCATGTCTTCTGTTGACATGTTGCCAGATTTGAAATGGGAAAACCACTCGTAGACCTGTGATTTCCCCAAAGCATCATCATTAAAGGCTTGCCGAAGCATCCCAACAGTCTCGGCTGCAGTTTTCCCTAACAGAAAGCAAAATTTCACGCACACTCTTTGTTCCTTCTGGTCGGCCATCTCACTAATCGCCAAAGGGTTGAAACAGGAACGCACACAACAGAGCACCACAGACAAACCACTTAACTCAGACTGATGCCAGCTCTCTAACAGTCGCGGGAGACCCCCAGCTAACACCACCTAGCAGCACAACTCGTAACTACAAAGCATGCACGCGCAACAGGTCGGTTCCGGTTATTTTTGGGTCCCCCTTTGTACATATATAATAACATATTAACTATTACATACTCACCCTTGTTACAGAATAGTTCCAATATAGTCGCTCAAACTATTATGAAGAAATAATAGAATATAACATGTAGATCACTGCTTGAGCTTTAAGTACATGTCAGGACACATTCAATGCAGTGATGTGGCTGTTCAGTGTGGTTTATCTGTGATATTAATTTAGTCTCAGTACTTGTTAATAGACCTCCTTCACAGTTATATTCATCTCCAGTTTTTCATAGGACTTAATTACATACAGGTACTCAGATTTGGTGCATGCATTATATGCATTCTGATGGATATTAAATGTAATTACCTTATTCTTCAGGCTCTTGTCACATCCTGCTTCCAGTAGTATCCTAGTCAGCTTTCGCCTTCCCATTGCTGCAGCTATATGCAGTGCAGTGTCCCCATTCTGAGGAGGAAGAAGTTCCAATTACCAGTTAATAATTTGACTACTATAATCAGGTTATAATGAAATTTAGCATTGTGGTATCCAATATTACAAAATTGAAATCTGGAGTGAATGGTTGAATGACTGAATCAACTTTTAGAGTGATTTTTCCTAAATTATCTGCTTCTATGTATGGGTCTTTATATAAGACAGAGTGAAAAAAATAGATATTTACTTCTTGGTGCCTTTTAGTATTAATCCTTTAAAGTACATTGGTAACTACATTATATGTGCAGTATGCTTTTAACGTTAAAGAACGTTGCAGTTTGCCCACAAAGTATATTTGTTTCATATGATTCTCAGATTAAATACTGATTATTTCCCTAAACAACATTAATTGATTACAATCTGCCCTCAGGATGGAGACAGAGTCCAGTCTCTGGAATGGTGTTTAAAATAAAACTAGGACATGGATAATGTGTAAGAACGGAAATATTGTACTAATAATCTGTCGCGTGTAGTGGGGTACGCATGACTAAATTATTGGGTTCTAGTTCAGATGATTGGATTTATTAGCATTTGGGTTATAATATCTCTTAATTACAATTAATACAGCACTATTAGAGTTCACAGTTGCACATGCACTAGGATTCTCCATTTTCACTAGTCATCTCCTGACAATGGATCTCAACACAGAAACAGTCACTTCAGATCACTGTGAAGTCTTCTTGCCATTTCTTGTTCAATCACCCTGGAACGTCAGAACTCAACTAAACACTCTTCTGGACTCTTTTTAATCTGAGTCTTGTGTTACAACCGATGGTCAGTTGGTCCAGTGTGTCTTGGAATAGAGCACCCATTTGGGGTTCACTACCAGATTTTTATTACTGTCAGACAGTTGGGGGTTTGTTGATGCAGGACGCTCTCTCTGACGGGATAATGGATCTGTCGTTTACAATTGCTGCTGGCCCTTGCCAGCACAGTCATTCTCGGGTCTGAGTCCCTTGGGACTCATGATCATATTTTACTCTCTCTGATTAGAGACTTCCATTTTATTCACCTCCTGCGACTTGCAGAGCTACAGTGGAGGTATTCGACCCCATCTCCACATGGAAGTGACTCTTCTTAGCTTCAAACGGGGTACATAGCCATGGCATGGACAATGCAGCAAACAGTTCTACTGCTGTGTAGCACAGATCACAAAGAAAACACAAGCCACATGATAGCTAAGTACTGTTAAGAGTGTGACGTCATTGTGCCTGCGCAGAAATTTGTTTACCAAGCCATTGCCTAGAAGTGGGTTGCATAACCCCCCTGTTCCAGTGTTGCATGGAGCAAGTATGCCACAATACCATCATCACAAACTTTCTGATCTTTAAATTTATTATTCTGTAATGCAGATGTAGTGGATCATCCATGAAGTAGAAACTTAGCTTTTTAATATTACTTAGGTGTTTTTCAGTTTTTCAAAGGTTTTACATGTGCTGCTATATTACATCATGTAGGATGTATAACAATCATCTCACAGGCTTAAACTAAAAAACCTTTTTTATTCTTTCCTTCCCACATGTTTTGACTGCATGGGATCTTCATCAGGCAAAAAAAAAAAAAAGAAGTAAAATCTATAAGTTTTTTATTGTATGCTACTGAGACATTTGTTATGTTTCCAATAAAAGAAATAGGATGCAGTTGTATGAAATGAAATGACATATCAGTGTATTTACTTTCGACAGCTTGATATATGCAATGCAAGCTGAGCTGATTTGTGTTTTACTAAGTGTAATAGACTGAGGATCTTCTTGCAGAATTTTCTATCACTAAAATATTATGTAAACTTTTCCACTCTATGTTGAACTATGCACTTATGTCTTCCTCCCATTCTCCCATTTTACCTTGTTTTGGTCAGACACCCGACACTGTGCACTGATGAGGATACGTGTGACCCCTGCATGGCCGTACCTTGCACTAGTGTGCAGTGGTGTGTCCCCATACTGGAAAACAGAAGTGAACCAACACATTGCATTTTGTCATTCAGTATTAAAAATTGATTTTTGGGCATTATATTGCCATCTTGGTATACATTTCAAAACGTTAACATTTTAAGATTATTCATTGACAATTTAAAATTTTAAAACTTTTTTATTTCATTTTAAGTTCCATGTATACAACAAACTAGCAAGTTAAGTTTTAAGTTACTTTTAGAACACCATGGAAAATATTTAAGAAATTAGAATAGTGTTAAGTATGATGGCCTCAGCTCAGTATGGTTGTGGTGAACTATTTTGTTAAAGTGAGATTTCAAGTTCTTATGGTGGTCACAATGAAGAGTACTGACAAGCAGAGTGCTTGCTGCTCACTTGCATGCCTACTTGCTCAGCTTACTCTTTGACTCAAGGATGAAGTCCTTATATTCCTCTGAAAAACTGGTAAACTTCTACCAGGCAACATGGCAGAAGACAGTAATAATCACATTTTGTCAGCAGCTTAACAGTCTAGCTATTTATTAAACTCTGATGTTGAGTTTCATGAAGAATTACACAATGAGTAGCTACATAATCTCTATTTCTCTGTACTTGTCAAAACAAAGAGATAAGGAGAAGCAGGACATAGATGCACTGGGGAGATGAGACAAGGATACAAAGTTACTTAGGCATAGCTAGGAGGATAATATTAAAATGTGGATTAGTGTGAGGTTGTGAACTGTATTGATCAGGCTCATGAAAGAACTTAATGGTAGGTTCTTTTGAACACAACAATGAACACTGCTTCATAAAAGATGGTGAATTTCCAAACTTCATAAGCAACTATCACATTTTCAAGAAGGGCTGTGGAGTTTGTTGGGTGAGGTACTTGAAACTTACATTGTTCTGTAGGTCAGGATTACAGCCTGCCAGCAGTAGTTCTCTACAACTCTGGTTATGTCCATTTTGACAACAGAGGTGTAGTGCTGCAAATCCTCCACAGTTTTTGAGGTGCAGGTTGGCTCTTGCCTTTCCTAAGGCTGCCACACTGCGACTGTAGCCCTTCCAGCTTGCTTCATGCAGTGCAGTGTTGCCATGCTGTAACACATTCATTGTGGATTATAATTTATGTGTATTTTATATATTACATATCTCAGGATTGGGAAAGTGAATGTAGATATTTTTCAGAACTACTGGATTTTTGGACTTGTCAATCATGCTTTTTGGATTATATCGGTGGCAGTAACATGTAAGACACTCCTTTGAAACTCTAGGGATAATGAAGAATAACACATTGATATAGGCCACAGCATTTTATCTCACATTTGCCCCAGTTCACCAAAAATAATGACCCCTTCCCTAAAAATTACAGAAAGTATGCTCTCAAAATTAAAAAGAAATATGCTATTAAATGGCGTGTTCTTACATAATGCACACACTAAGCTGCTGTTGATCTCTCCCCTTGTTCCATCTTGTTAAGAAATTGATTCTAACATTATTCCTTATGTGCAGCATGAAGATAAACTTGCAAGCCATGAAAGAAGCCAATGAAATTCATAATACCTTAGGTATTCTTGTGGACATGGATTTTTTGGAGATGAAAGCACAAAAAAAAGATATAGTAAAGCAGCAGTAAGAACCATTACTTTACGGACCATTAAATTTTATGATTTGCTCAGAGGAGTTAAGAACAAGTTTGACAAACTCCTTCTTGTGCGAGGATCCTCTGAACATACACAGACTTGACGAATTTGCGAATACCTGATAACAAATGGCAAAGTGTGATGGAAAATTAAAATCTTAATGTGTCTTGCTTAATATGTAATTGGATGTTTTTGTACCATAAGAATTTAAGGCATTAACTGGACTTTACAACTTGCCCCTGTGTTTTGCAGTTACCAAATGAAGTAGGCTGGTCTGATGGCTTAAGTGTCAGACAGTCTTGTAGATGTATTTATAACCTTGTTTCAGATTTCACTCTTGACAGATAATCGCTTTGTTATTATGCCTCAATTGTCATTCTTGCTTTTTGTTCGTTCATTAAGCAAATTTGTAAATTAGCTGCTTAGTAACAATTATTAGAAACCTTTTAGGATAGTTAAAAAAGCAAGGAATTAAATGGTTTCCAGTTCGTTTTGCTGGAGTTAGCTGCATTACAGAGTGTATAAGAATATAACTTTGCAATAGGATGTATTAACTTTATTATACAAGATCTAAGGTTTCCATGGAACTGAAATTTCAGATTACAGCCTCCTTGGTTTTGACACCATGTAGCCTTGTTGAGAAGCTTCATAACTTGTACTCTTCACCAAATACAATTAGAATGATCAAGTCAAGATGGATAAAATTGGCAGGGCAATGTAGCACAAATGACAGAAAAGATGATGCATGTAGACTTTTGGTGGGAAAGCCAGAAGGAAAACCTGGACATAGGTGGAAGGATAATATTAAAATGGGTTTTAGAGATAGGATGAGGTGGTATGGACAAAATTGATCTGGCTCATGATAGGGATTATTGGAGGGCTCTTGTGAACACACTAATGAACCTCAGGTTCCATGAAATGTTGGGAAGTTCCTGAGCAGCTGGCAGCTTCTCAAAAGGGGCTCAGCTCCATGGCGTTAGTTATTTAGTAGTCTTGTAAGAGGATACCACTATTTTGGAAGGATCTTCTACCTCCATCTTCAATGTAGACATGAGTACAGCTAGAATATGAGTGGGTTATACAGGAAGGGTTGTAACTGCCTGCTCACCACGCTTCTTTCTCCTTCCCTCTTGTAGCTCTGGTTGGTCAATTTTCTTGTGCCCCTTGGCCTGATCTATGCCACCCAGCCACTTTCTAGCCCCAAACACATCTCTCCTGAAGGTGGATGGGCCAGGTTCATTCAAATTATTGTTATCCACCTACAAGACTACATGGCATCACAGACCAAAAGTTTACGTTCTGTAATAGATTTGTCGATTATGCAACTTAACTATTGTAACACCCCTTGAGAGTTCAATGGGAAATCCCATATCTGTTACGTGAACTTTCGTACTCTGTACTATTAACTTCCCCCACTTTCTCCTATATCCTGTCTAGTCCTGCTTGTTATAAAGTGATGTGTCGAGGCTGACATTTAACCCTGTCTCCCACGAATAACATGCACAAATAGTCAATCACAAATCGTCTCCTACACTACAATTCACGTGTAAAAATATTATCAATACTGATGGAATATACACCATTGAAACAAAAGACCGCATATACATTATTCATGTGTGACTACTACAAAACTGACCTCAATGCAGTGTGTTAGTGTCCCACACTATTTTGCTATTGTAACTCGAAACTGCATAATGACTACAATACATCTTACACGTACAAAATGCATGTGTAGATGATAGAGGATCTTTGGTTATGAAGGAGTAGTGAATTGGTCAGAAACAGAAAGTAACATTGACAGTGATTCTACATTTACTGAAAATTGAGAAAATGCATTACTATTGAATACCTAAGTATATTAAATTTAGTACACTGGCCTGTGCCATAGCTCAAGCGGTTAGTCGCTGGCTTCCCACCGCGGTGGCCCGGGTTCGATCCCGGGTCTGGTCAAGTGGGATTTGTGGTGGACAAAGTGGCACTGGGGCAGGTTTTCTCCAAGTACTTCGGTTTCCCTTGCCAATCTTTATTCCACCAACTGCTCCACAATTACCCTCACCTATCATCTGGGGCTGGTACAATAGGCCAGAAGTGGCCGCAGTACAAGGGACTTAGTCCCACCCCACTAGCAGTAAAAAAAATTGGCACAGTTCTTACACATTCTTTAATTTATTTTATACATTGGCCATCGTTTTGAACAGCTTGCTGAATTAGTCCGTTACACACTGAACATGAATACAGAGTTTCTCAGTTCTCAGGACTAAATACCAGGAGGAACGATACTATGTATTTCATGAATATATTCATATTCTGATAAAGAGTTCAAACGTTTCTGCTGTGCTGGTGGCATTTTTCATTATTGTATTTTTCCACCTTTTCTTCTTGAAATGTTTCTACCCAAATAACAGAAAGAGACTATCTTCCACAATCAGCCGAAATGGACAAAGGAGACTTAAGACGTCAGAAACGACGTTAAAGAGACCAAGACCATGCTGGTATTCATAGGAACAGGATATTTCTACCTGAATTATCAAAAATGGCCGCCTGCATGCATTCGAGTAATAGAATACTGACTTGACTATGGTGCCTTGGTGTTAGTTCGATTCCTGACAGGGACAGAATTTTTCATTTTACTGGCCCGTTCCAGACCATCTTCTATGCACACCTAGCATCCTGTATCCGATAATACAACTGCCGGAGCGTGATGCTGAATACTAACCTCGATCCCGTGCAGAAGCAGGAATTACTACCGCCTCCCTTACAGTAATTCATGGCGTGGATCTCAGGGACAAGTTTTATGTGACAAGTCTGTCTTATGATGGCAAAACTGATGGCCAAAGCAAAAAGGTAACTTCTAGTATCAGTTTCATGTTCTGTACCATGGCGACTGGTGTCTTCCTGCTTAAAATATTTTATACAATTCAAACAACTTCACTAGCGTCCATTGTAACATGTCATCGCATAAAAGTGTCGCGTCTTCAACTTAAAAGGAAAAAGAAAGGGCAGATAAAAACGTTCTGCTCTGTTGATCGAGTGGATTTCGTAATGTAAGGCAATACTGGAAGGGAATGAAATGGAAGAGGTGGTTGATAGACCGGGCCTATTAAGAAGCGGTCAGATCTGCTGCCGGCTCTTCAAACCTGGAATTGTCCCTCGGGGCGTGTCTTGGACAGGGCTGTCCAGTTCCCCGTTCACTTCCATCAGGGTCGTTTTCAACTTCAGGCCATCGCCCGAAGATCGCATTAATACTCAGCATATCTTGTATGGGTATCTTTCAGTGTTAAGTCGCTAAATCATGCCGCATCTTCGGTTTGCGGACGAAGAAGACAATCTCCAGACATGTAGGGTAGCAACCATAATACATAATCAGTAGCGGACAGCCGACAAAAGGTGGTCACCTAGCTTGCGATTCAGTGAGATCTATCAGTCCGGCACTGTACAGAAAGAAGAGCATGCCGTGATGTGTTATGTTAGGCCTCAGAGTTGGGTAAATTCTTCGGGCTGACCCTTTTCGTCTTTGTTTGATGTTTGCACTTTTAGGTGGATCGTCTGTTTGGAGTGACCTGGATGTGAGAATTGGAACTAGGAATGCCACGAGTCTCTCTCACTGATAGTTGTACCAAGAAAATTAACAGTCTAAATCCTGAAATCTTTTAAAATAATATTAAAAAGCAGTTCATACCTTACATAAATTACGAGTATATCCCGTTACCATTTCAAAGACATGTCCATTAATGACGACTGGGGAAATAATAGTTTTTTTTTTCATTCTTAGAAGCCATGAAACAAAGAGCTAGTCTGTGGCTGCTGATTATGATCATCCTCCTGTAGTGTGGTAATTTGTTTTTTGATATTGTGTACATCTCCAGCATGTCTGATTCTGTTATTTAAGCAGATGGTTTTTGTACTTCATTGTGGCTCTAAATGTTACCTCTCTTGCACGGCAAACATATCTCTCTGGTTCTGCATAAATGTTACCATTGGCTAGCTTTTATTAGGGACTCATTTGTTATTATTATCATTTCCCCATGTGGAGGAGGATTAAAATACTCCACCGTAGCCCTGCAAGCCGTAGAAGGCGACGAAAATGGAACCCGGTGCCTTGGGCTATAATTGGGCCTCCCTGTCACTGGAAAACCTAAATACAGGTACCTGGTCCTCCAGGTTTGGGGTTGAACGCAAGGCTGACGACCTTTCTCTGAAAGAATGTATTGTTGCGAACTCCAAAGAAGTCAAAACCGAATGCAGTCTGGCAGGATCTTCTAAGGAAGTCTATGGCTCGAAAAGGGTTGTTTGCCTATTATTAGTATTATCATCATCATTATTCGGGTTCAACGAATCTTGACCTTCGGTCACCCTGACGCCGGATATTTTCCGGAGTAAGTAACTGTTTTGAAGATACATAAAATTTCGAGTCCTTCAGGTAGATCGCACTTTCATGAATGGCTAAACCGGAAT